CCAAAAAAAAGTATCAGAAGAAAATACAAAAATAATTGATAGCATTTTTTTTGTATCTTATGACAATTAATTTGGTTCAAAAGAACAATTAATGCTTTGATTAGAATCAATTTATTACCATCAGTTTTATTTACAAGTAAGACTGAATAAAACACAGAAATAGCAATATATGTAAAGCAAATTTTTATTTGAATGTTAGAAAAAAAGTAATACATTGAGGTGTAGTTGACCAAAAAATAAATACAATGGGTATTATTACTAGTAATTACTTTTCATGTGAAGATTAAAACGTGAGAAAACTAATAAATTAATTATCTTTGACAAGCAATAAATGAAATGCTGACAAATTGGTTTCAAAGTTTCAACGCATTTCTGTAAGAATTCAAGTTCGTGGAGCTAATCAAGAGATTATTATCAATTTTTTTTTTTACTTTATTAAATTATAGTAGTAACATATAGTATACTATTACTATAACCTAAAAATCAAAAATAATCGGAAACGAATTTTTGATTTTTTTTTTATAATTAAAAAAAAAATTACTGTTTCGTACCACTTCCCATCTTTCCTTTTGTGTTCCTTGTTCATCTTCTTCCCCTTTGCTTTGCCCCAAATCTATTTCTCTCTCTCTCTCTCTAAAGAGAAAAAAAATAAAAGATCTAACTTTGACGGCTCTCTCAATCCTCTTCACTCTGTAAGTTCCAAATCTCTCTCCTTTACTCTCATATCTATATCGTCCTGAGATAACTCAGGTGAATTGCTTTATCCCTTTTTGTTTTTTTTTGTTTTGGTCATCTTTTCAGATTCTTTCCGTTTTTTTAGGTTTCGATATTGTCCTTTCTCGAGTAGCTTCTGGTCTTATTGAATTTGGTTATTCTCTTACTTTTTCGGAATCGTATGGTCAGAGGTGTTTCTTATTATGCGTTTATCTATCTTCTTTTTGCAGTTTGGGTTTGTCGTGTTTGTGTGATCTGATACTTGGTGGTTCTTCTCGCCTCCTGCTTCATATTCCATGTTTTGATATGTTTTAGGGTTTAGAAGTCGGGGATAGACTGATGGATTCATGAGAGCTTCATGGTTATTGTTAGATCAGATGTGGATTTAATCCTTTACTGAAATAGTAATAAAGAGTTTATGGGAGAAGCAAAGATCCTTGGTTTACAGTAGATGTTGTGAGGAACAAGTTGCAGTTTTTTGGGGATAAAAGTGAAGTCTTTGCCTTTGTAATCTGAAATCAGATTGGATGGTGGGAAGAGAGGATGCCATGGGGAATGATGAGGCTCCTCCTGGTTCTAAGAAAATGTTTTGGCGGTCTGCCTCTTGGTCTGCTTCACGCACTGCATCACAAGTTTCTCAGGGTGAGGAGCAGAGTCTGAACATCCCCTGTGCTAATAGTTCTGGGCCGAGTCGAAGGTGCCCAGCTGCCCCTTTAACACCTCGGTCACATCACAACAGCAAAGCTAGAGCTTGTTTACCACCATTGCAGCCTCTTTCCATTTCTAGGAGGAGCTTAGATGAGTGGCCTAAGGCGGGATCAGATGATGTCGGTGAGTGGCCGCATCCACCAACACCTAGCGGGAACAAAACCGGGGAGAGATTAAAGCTCGATTTATCATCAACGCAGCAGCGGGTCTCAGATAAGAGCGCTGGTCTAGCTAAGAGGGAAAAGATTGCTTACTTTGATAAAGAATGTTCCAAGGTTGCTGATCATATATACGTGGGCGGAGATGCTGTGGCAAAAGATAAGAATATATTGAAAAACAATGGAATCACGCATATCCTTAACTGTGTTGGGTTTATCTGCCCAGAGTACTTCAAGTCTGATTTTTGTTACAGATCCCTATGGTTACAGGATAGTCCATCCGAGGATATAACTAGTATTCTCTACGATGTGTTTGACTACTTTGAAGATGTGAGGGAGCAAAGTGGAAGGATCTTCGTTCATTGTTGTCAAGGAGTTTCACGATCTACTTCGCTGGTAATAGCATATCTGATGTGGAGAGAAGGACAAAGCTTCGACGATGCATTTCAGTATGTAAAGTCTGCTAGAGGTATTGCTGATCCTAACATGGGCTTTGCTTGCCAATTGTTACAATGCCAAAAGAGGGTTCATGCGTTTCCGCTTAGCCCTACTTCCTTACTTAGGATGTACAGAATGTCTCCACACTCTCCTTATGATCCTTTGCATCTTGTTCCAAAACTGTTGAATGATCCATCCCCGTCTTCTCTGGATTCAAGAGGTGCATTTATCATTCACTTACCTTCTGCGATTTACATTTGGGTTGGTAGGCAGTGTGAAACCATCATGGAAAGAGATGCAAAAGCTGCTGTTTGTCAGATTGCTCGATATGAGAAAGTTGAAGCACCTATTATGGTGGTCAGAGAAGGCGATGAGCCTGCTTATTACTGGGACGCTTTTGCAAGCATTTTGCCTATGATTGGGGCTTCGGTGGTGAAAATTCAACCAGGTGACAGGAAGGTAGATGCCTATAATCTGGATTTTGAGATTTTCCAGAAAGCCATTGATGGAGGTTTTGTGCCAACTTTAGCATCATCCAACAACGAACATGAGACTCATCTTCCTGCTAGAGAAAACAGTTGGAGCTCATTGAAATGTAAGTTTGCATCAAGGTTTGAGAAGGGTTTTCGGTATGTCTCCAAAACGCCACTATCTAGGGTCTATTCTGATTCAATGATGATCGTGCATTCGTCAGCCTCACCTTCCTCAACTTCTTCATCATCCTCTGCTTCTCCTCCATTCCTTTCTCCTGATTCTGTATGCTCAGCAAATTCAAGCAATAACGTGAAGAGTTTCTCACAATCCACTGGGCGCTCGTCCTTGAGACCTTCTTCTGTTCCACCACCGTTGACATTGCCCAAATTTTCTAGCCTCTCTCTCCTCCCTCCCCAGATTTCTCCTAAAGAATCTTGTGGTGTCAATAATTTTCCACAGCCTTACATTGAACCGTCACCAAATAGAAAGGCTACACCCTCTCTTGCAGAGCGTAGAGGCAGTCTGAAAGGATCTCTGAAGTTGCCTAGTTTGGCTGATTCTAACAGAGGCACACCTGCTTTCACTTTACATCCAGATGATAGTAATGACATAGTCTTCAACTTGGAGGGTATTAGAAATGGCGACCTAAATACATCAAGTGGTTGCAAAGGGAGAAATGTAGATTCGGATTTGCCACAGAAGGAATCGAGATCCTTAATCAGTTGCAGTAGATCTGATATTCACAAATCGGGTGGTGATAACTTGGGCCAGCCTTTAGCATGTCGGTGGCCAAGTATGGAGATGATCACAGAACTGAGCAGAGGTTGCTTAGATTCAGAATCTGTTATAGCAATCCCGTTGCCAAGTGATGCTGTAGGAGAAACGGGTAGTAGGATTTTGTACATTTGGATAGGAAAGTCATTCTCTTATGATAACAACTGTTCTCTATTAGATAGCAACAAAGCAGCGGACTCTGGGGAGAATGTTGATTGGATACAGATAGGTGAATCCATTTTGTCTCAGATGGACTTGCCAGAAGAAACCCCTATAAAGGTAGTAGCCAAAACTTAAAATGCTCTGATACTTTTTACTAGTTTTGAAGTCTGCTTGGTCATTTTTGTCATTTCTTATCCAACTAAACTAAATTCGAAAATGGAAATTACAATCTCAGCACTTTCATTATTGAGGTCTGAGGATGGTTAGGTAGAATCGGTATGATTCCAACAGTTGTATATAGTGATTTATCCTTGTAGTGTTTGCATGGTTTGAACATGTTACGCTCCTTTTGCTGTGGGAAACTGATAACTTGCTTCTCTTTCTATTCACAGATAGTTAGGGAAACTGAGGATCAGACAGAGTTTCTTGCACTGCTGAGTGTGCTATAGCACCCGCCCGCAAGTTCTAGACATTTACTCTCTGTTTTTTTCTACTTTTCTTTTTTTCTTTCACAGATTCCTTCGACCTCAATACTTTTCCATTTCCAGACAGGGTATTCATTCAGCTTAGGTGAGAAATTTCTCTTAACGCAGTCCCATGTACTTTTTCCTTTTCAATTGCATCCCAATAAAACCCATTTTGATCATCACTTCTGTTACACATATATTTGTTATCTTATCATTGGTTTGAGTTGAGGATGGTTGGAACATAAAACTTATAAAAGCTTGAATGAAAGGTTTCTCATAATCCTTATTGTTCGTTTGTTTGACATTGCAGAGATCTCTCTCTGTGCTTATGGAAGTTGATGTTGGAGGGAGAAACAACTCTCTTGTACAGTGGGGAAAAAAAAACTGCTTCTATCACATTAAAATCCTCAAGGGCGATTGTTAGCATTATCAGATATAAAATTGTAAGGTAGGGCTTTATGAGGATTTTAGATAAATGGACATGTTACAATGTTTACTTATACACTCAGCACAGTAGATTTTTTTTTGTTAAACTTCCTTTTCGTTATTCAAGTAAAGTACACTCTGTAGGTTTTGAAGACTAATCAAGAATAATTTGTTCATTGCCGTCTTCTTAAATAACTTGATCAACTGTTTTCCTCGTCCAGTTTTGGTTCTTGCACAATGTTCTCCTCTTCTCTCTAAGATAGTATAACCAAACAATATGTCATTATTGTCATCTCTGTTTCTAGGCCTCAAATTATTACACTACTCTTCATGTAGATTTTGATCATTTCAGGGATTTATTTGGTACAATTAAGCAATTTTATAATGATTCATGCGACATGGTTTTCTACTCAAATTCCTAATCAAAAACTCAAATAATGATCTGTATTTGATGTCCCCATCTTGGGTTTTTAGTTGCAGTTTCTATTCGTTCAATGAATAACGCTCACAAAATCTTGGTAAGGGAACTGTAATCTGTATTTGTTCAATCAATTTATTAACCAAGTTTCTATTGGGCTCATAATCAGTTGTATGGAGGAAGCCCAATACTGTATCCAAGGCCCAAACAGAAATCGATCTAGGGTTTACTCTCGTATTTCATTTTCACTACCCATTTACAAATAAATAAAAACCTCCGAGCAACTTGAAGCTGCTGTTTAGGGTTTCTGTTTCGCCGCTCAGGTTTGTTCGTCTCTCTCGATCTCCCGTTCTTCCTTCCACTTCTTCTCAGCTACGATTGCTATCACTTTCTTTACTGATTTGCTTTTCTGGGTTTCCCAGGTTTCGTTTAAAGGATCCATCTTGAGTAATGGCTCCAGCTAAAGGTGCGACCTTTTTTTTTCCTTTTTTCATTTTATCTGATTTGTTTCCTGTTACTTTGATTGACTGTTTTGATTCCAAATCGTCTTCTAGTATGCTATTCACTACCGATTGATACTTTGTTTATCAATATCCAATACTGAGACTGAACAGCTTTCTGAAATGTATGATTCTTGCCTGGCGCTGTTAATATCGTATTTGGATCATGGCATCTTCTCTTACTAGTGCTTATGTTACTTTTCTCTGTTATAGATACATCTCTTGTTTGTTTATGATTTGCCAAGGATCAAATTTTTCTTCTATGAGTTGTTTTTTTTCCCTCTTATCCTAGAAACACGACGCTGATATTTATACTTTATTGAACATAAAGTTTTTGGATCATGAGTAATGTTAAAATGTATATCGTGAATATTCACTGTAATGGATTATTGATTTTTTTTCTTTTCACTTGAATGAGTCCTTTCCTTAAACTTGTCCTTGTAAACAAGAAATTCAGTTCTTCCAAACATTCTAAACTGGTTCAACGCTCCATTGTTTTTTGCAGTCGATGTTACCAAGAAAGCCGACCCCAAGGCAAAGGCCTTAAAAACTGCCAAAGCAGTGAAATCTGGCCAGATCATGAAGAAGCCTGCAAAGAAGATCAGGACAAAGGTGACTTTCCACAGGCCAAAGACATTGACCATTGGAAGGAATCCCAAGTACCCACGAATCAGTGCAACGCCAAGGAACAAATTGGACCATTACCAGATCCTCAAGTACCCTCTCACTACTGAATCTGCCATGAAGAAGATTGAAGACAACAACACCTTAGTTTTCATCGTTGACATCCGTGCTGACAAGAAGAAGATCAAAGATGCTGTCAAGAAGATGTATGACATTCAGACCAAGAAGGTCAACACCCTCATTAGGTAATCACTTGGAGAACCTTAAAACATGACTTTGAGTTTTCCTTCTACTTGAAGATAATGGTGTTAATAGTTCAAAACATGGATGATGAATGTTTATTGTTTTGTTACAGGCCCGATGGAACGAAGAAGGCGTATGTAAGGTTGACTCCTGATTATGATGCTTTGGATGTGGCGAACAAAATCGGGATCATCTAATTTCACCAACGACGCACTGTGATCTCACTTTCGGGGTTGAAAACAGACTTCTGGTTTTTCTCTTCCATAGTCTTCAGTTTTGCTAGAGGAGTCTAAAGATATTATCATCTCTTTTGTTATATGCTTTTTAGCTTTGAATTCAAAGATTATATGGTTTTGGTATTTATCGATGAGTCTTATCTTTCTTGTCTTTAGGTCTTGCACCAAGTTCTTTATGCGAGCCGGTTTAATTTGGTTATTGTTAAAATTGTACCTGCATATCGAACCAAGCAAAAATTCAATTGGCACGTTGGTCTCCAAGATTATTTTATTTATAAAGAAGACTTCATTTGTGGAGCTCAAACAACTAATCAGTTAACCAATTCGGTCTGCAAGAAACTCGTGGTCATAAAACGCTTGGCAGCCAGAAAAAGACAGAAAAATAATCATTGCATCTTGAAGAGTGTCGATCAAGACTTAAAGTTGCCACGTTGAATTGTCGATTTGGTGTAAATTAGGACCTTATATGGGAACGTGTTGGAGTTGGTTCTTCTGTCTCCTGAACCGCAGTATTTGGCATATGGGTGGGTTTGCAATAACATCTTATCCCATTTGTGGAACATATTGAATGATATACGAATTAAACACACTTCTTTGACACTCCTTTTATCTATCTATCTATTATTATTTTATATATATAAGCACTGTTATGGGAGTCTCTTTCTCCATCAAAGAGACGCAGAGAAACAAATTATGAGCAATCATCAAACTGTAGTAAGATACTTTTTCTCTCTCATATCCCATTTTTCTTTTTCTTTCTTTTCTTTAATCTTCAAAACTATCAGATAAGCATTTTGATTTGATTTTTGAGTAATCCATTTCATCATATGATTCCATGGAAATTGTCAATCATGTGTTTCAGTTTTTCTAATCTGAAATTTTTGTTTTTTTCTGTGTGTTTTGGATAGAAGCAGGTGTTGAAGCAATTGGAGCCATGGTGTGAACTTAAAGACAAAGTGGTTCTTGTTACAGGAGCTTCTTCTGGTATAGGAAGAGAGATATGTCTTGATCTGGCCAAAGCTGGATGTAACATTATTGCAGCAGCTCGTCGTGTCGATCGACTCAACTCTCTCTGCTCCGAAATCAACAGTTATAATAATGCAACTGGACTCCAAGCCGCAGCTCTTGAGCTTGACGTTTCATCAGATGCAGCTACCATTCAAAAAGCCGTCAAGGTAGCTTGGGAAATCTTTGGAAAGATTGATGTGTTGATCAATAACGCCGGAATCAGAGGTGAGGTCAAGTCGAGTTTGGATGTATCAGAGGATGAATGGGACAAAGTCTTCAGGACCAATTTAACCGGACCATGGTTAGTCTCCAAGTACGTGTGCATTTTGATGCGTGACGCTAAACGCGGTGGCTCCGTGATAAACATCTCATCGATCGCCGGGCTTCACCGCGGGTTGTTGCCCGGTGGACTCGCATATGCTTGTTCCAAAGGTGGAGTTGACACCATGTCGAGAATGATGGCACTTGAGTTAGGTGTTCACAAGATCAGAGTAAACTCGATCGCACCGGGGCTTTTCAAGTCAGAGATTACTGAAAGTCTTCTGCAGAAAAAGTGGATGAAGAACGTGACCGAGCGGACTGTCCCGTTAAAGGAGCAACAAACTGTGGATCCTGGGCTTACCTCTCTTGTTCGCTATCTCATTCATGACTCTTCTCAATATGTGTCCGGGAACACATACATTGTGGATTCCGGAAATACTTTGCCCGGTGTGCCCATTTTTTCATCTCTCTGAAATTTTGTGCAATAATAAGTGAAAACATTTATACATTCTCTACTAATTTTAAAACTTTACAAACATCATTCATGTTTTTACAAGAACAAACCAGCACAAAAATAAAGGAAAAGACAAAAACAAACAGCCTCCGAATTGATTAACCACCCTATTAAAAATCTTCGGATTCAATAAACAAAATCGATTTACCTTGGAGAAGGAAGCAATGACCATGACCTACTTCTGGTGCTTCGTCTCCAAAAAAGAATAAGCAGGTCGAACACAATGGAAACTCTACATCTACAGGCCCTATCAGCTATCAGCTACAGAACTAACCGTGGTTGTATAATCCCTTTTTAGCATTTAGTGTCCCTCCCGAGAATCATTGATCAGAGATGCCAAAATCATTTTTTATCATTGATAGAGAGCCTCAAACTTTATATAAGTCGATGCTGACGTAGACCTTTACCGAAATGTGGTTGCATCAAACGGACATACAATCCGTTCTTCGCTGCTAAAGAATCATGTGTACCTTCCTCTACTATCCTCCCTCCATTGAGAACCACAATGTTATCCACATGTCTCATCATTGCTGCTCTATGTGCTATCAGAATTGTAGTTTTGTTCCCCATTATCAATGTGTCAAGAGCCTCCTGCACAACCCGACTAGATTCAGATTCGATGGACGAGCTTGCTTCATCTATTAAGATGATGGGAGCATTCTTCAGCACTACCCGCGCTATTGCTATTCTCTGTTTCTGTCCCGGGGTAAGTTCCACGCCTCTCATCCCGATATGTGTGTCGTAACCGTGAGGTAAGCTGCTGATGAAATGGTGAGCATTTGCAATTCTTGCTGCTTCCTTCATCTCAGCTTCACTCGCATTATGTCTTGCATATATGATATTCTCTCTGATTGTTGTCGAAAAAATTATGGGTTCTTGCTGAACCAAACCCATGTGGCTTCTCAACCATCTCAAATTATATAACTTTAAGTCTCTCCCATCTAGTAGGACTTGACCAGCAACTGGGTCGTAGTATCTCTCTACCAGTGAGATTATTGTGCTTTTTCCAGAACCCGAAACGCCAACCACAGCCACGGTCTGTCCACCACTTACTTTCAGACTGAAGTTGCTCAGCACAAGTACCTCGGGTCGAGTTGGATAGCAAAAGTCGATGTTCTTCAGTTCAATGCTTCCATAGACATTAGGCGGTTTGAGAGCAGAGTTATCATCTGGTTCAATTGAAGGGACTCGATCTATGATCTCAAAAACTGAAATAAGAGACTTACGTCGCTTGAGGATGTATGGTGCTAATCCAAATGGCTCGACAAGGGCAAATGTAGCAAATGAGAAAACCATGTACTCTGTTATAGCTGTGGATAATTTCATATATCCACGGTTAACAGATAACGCAGTGCACCATAGGAGGAGCGCATTGCACGCAAAAAGAAGAAACTGTGAGAAACCAAACGCAAAACCAATAACCATCCCATGGAGAAAGCTCTGTCTGAGTATCCGCTGGAGTTGCATCCTGTACAGTTCCATCACTTTGTTACCAGCACAGAAAGCAACAACAGTGTAGATGTTTCTAACAGCATCCTCGAGGACTAAAGATGCCTTTCTATGCATTTCCTGTATGCCTTTGGAGAATCCTCCAAGCCACAATTTCTGCAAATTTGTTTCGAGGATGATTAGATTGTCGTGGCGGCTGAATAAACAAACTCTTCTGAGCTACGTGCATTGAGAATGAGGAAAAAAATGAAGTACATGCCAAATCGCTATTTGATCTGGAAGGTATGAAAAATCAGAATACATGTGACAGAGGGGATGATGAACACAAATTCACAAGATCATACAATTTTCTAAAAGAAACGATGCAAACCTGAGCAATGGCAGAAAGTGTGAGAATTGGCAAAGTTGCCAATGCAACAAGGGCCAAACGCCAACCAAGCAGCAACCCAATAAGAAGAGCAACAATAACAGCAAAACTATCTTGAATAAATATCGACAGCCTGTTGCTGAAAGCAGCTCGGACAAAAGTAGCATCATTTGCTAAACGCATGGATAACGTATCTGGGCTGTTCTCCTCATCATCGAACCATCCAACTTCGTTGCGCAGCATTGCTGTAACATCAGGGAAATTAATGAAACAAGGCAAGTAAAATAGTTAAAATGCGGTGAAGTAAACTATAATGAATTCCAATACCTGAGAACATCATCCTCCGAACTCTCTCCGTCATTTTCTCTCCCATAATGCCAAAATAGAAGTGCTGCAAGAAATTGGCAACAACTGTCACTATCCCCATGCAGGCAATGATCAAACACCATTTGTCAACCTCTTCACGTAGGTGGCTTCCTTTGTATTTATAATATGTCGTCACCACCAACGCAATGGCATAAGCCAGAAGAGGATTGAAAGAACCAAAGATGGCAGCACCAAGACTCCCTAATACAGCATAAAGCCACTCTGGGAAACTAAGCTGCGCCAACCTCCAAAATGAAGGTGAAATTTTGTGTTGAGCATCCTTAGCCGCATTACCATTTGCTGTAGTGTCATCAGAAGAACTAACAGGACGACTGAACGTCTGCGAATGGGAACGCTCGTTTTTAGGATCTGATGTCAAAAGGGGAGAAACAGGGGACTCTGGATCTGAGTCGTTTGTTTTTTGTTGAGGACACTGAACGTCAATTTTCGGAAGTTCTGGTAGCCTCATCTCGAAACTATCTTGCCTTTTGATTGTTGGCTCTTTATCAGCATCGTCCAGAGGCAAGCCATTTTCTCTCATTTTCTCAGGTGCAGGGCTATGATCATTAGGTGATTCTTCAGTGTTGAAACTCAATTCCTGGGGACGGAACACACCATTACCTCTTTGAAGGGATGGAGACTTGATCATTTTGGGTGATGATGGCTCTTGGATGCCACAGCTAGCTGACGAGTCTCTCTCAACCTGAAACAATGCAGACTCCTTGTAGTTCCTAATTGGCATCCTGGATCAACATAAAATTTCCTTAAACAAGTAATCACCAAAAATGCCCAAAAACCCAAACATATATTTTGCCACATGACTACAGCACGACTTAATGGTTTAATTTTACGTTATCATACCTTCTTGGAAGCTTTGTTGCTTCTTCACACTTTAGAAGCTCAGCATACAGCCCACCAAGATTTATCAATTCATCGTGTGTACCCATTTCAACGAGCTGACCCTCCTCCATCACGGCAATATAGTCAGCATTTTTTATCAAACTTAACCGTCGGGCGATTATTATGGTTGACCGTCCCAACATCAGAAGATCAAGAGCTTCCTGAACAACTCTTTCAGCTTCGAAGTCTAGACCTCCAGTTACTTCGTCTAGCAGAAGAATTGTTGGATTCAATAGCACAGCTCTAGCAATCGAAAGTTTTATTTTCTGCTCCTCAGTCATTGCTAAACCGGCTCTCCCGACCTAGAAGACAAACAAGGCATTTCCCACTTCAATGTTGAATACCAACTGACAAAACAGGATTTCATAAGAGTTTTTTTCAAATGATGTCTACCTGAGTTTCATATCCTTTTTCAAGTGAACTGATAAATGTGTGGGCATGCGCATTTTTAGCTGCCTCTTCTATCTGATCAAGCGTAGCATCACGACCATATGCAATATTCTCTCGTATGCTCAAACTTAGCAGAGCAGGTTCCTGGGTAACCAGGCCTATTTGGCTTCTCAGCCACTCCAGTTTTAGATTTTTGATATTTTCTCCATCAAGAAGAACTTCTCCTGCATAAGAAAAAACCACATATGTAGTCAGCTCACGATTGTCCCCATGGACAGGTGAGTGGTGCATCTAAAATTACAAGTCAATGTACCTAATGTTGGATCATAAAATCGTTCCATTAAAGGAATGATGCTGCTTTTCCCAGAACCATTTCTACCAACAAGTGCAACAGCTTTTTTAGCAGGCACCGTGAGGTAAAAACCACTCAAGATTGGAATTTCAGGTCGTGATAAATAACTGAAATACACATTTCGAAACTCAATATTTCCTTGAACAGAAGCCAGCAGAGCTCCTTCTTGATTAGCCACAGAAGATGAACGAGTTATCATCTCAAAAAGTCTATACGCAGCAATCCTTCCTTGATCAAAAGAATAGAAGTTGGTAGCAGCTTGATTTAAACCCCTGCGCAACAGAATTTGCATAATCATGACATTGTTCTATGTAACAATATGTGTATATATGTAAATGTAATAACAATATCAACAGAATTTGTATTGAATATAATGCAATAGAGACTGGGAAAATAGATATAGAAATCATCAGTAGAAAAGCTTACAAGCCACTTAAAATAACAGCAAAAAGAGCTGCTATGATTTCTCCACCATTTGCCCTTCCATTGTTAACAAAGATTCGCCCAATCCAAAGTTGCAGGGCACACGAGCATATAGCAAGCCCATACGTAAATCCAAGTCCAAGGCCTTGCACAAGACTAATTAATATGCCGTATCTCAGGGTTGCTTGAAGGGAGGTTGCATATGAATATTTTGCAAGAGTTTCATTTGTAAAGGCATATAAAGTCCTAATGTAAGAGATAGCCTGCACATTCAATATAAATCATTCTAAGAATTAGAATATTCACACCAGACTCTAACTGAGGCAGTACACTAATCTCGGAAGGGAGCCCTAGAAAATGGGAACTGTAGGGTATAGACTATCGAGTGTGGTTACTAGGCATGCCCAGTAATGAAATGTCAAATTCATGCAAGTTCAGAATTAACTGTGCATCCTAGCAAACAATATCAAGGATATCGCTTGGTCTACATTCTAAGATGAAACTGGCAGAAGTTAAACTAATTCTTGACCTCAGTCAATCTCATTCTATCTAGTGAAGTAACCTAGAAAGTCCAGCCTAAGTACAATCTTAACCTCTAGGATTCAGCATAAAATTTTCTGAAAAAAAGATTGATTAAATAAGAGCAAAAATAAAAGATGCTGAACTTTGTAAGCATAATTTTAGGTTAAAATATGCGGAAAAGAAACTTTGATGCCAACACGGCACATATATGTGTATATGAGAATATATTCTCATACAATTTTTTAACAGTTTAGTTTTTAGCTTCCAGTTTTGTTAGTTCACATATTCAGCGATCAAATTGGACAAACTTCAAAGAGAAATTTTTGATGCTAATTCCATTATATCTCAATACACCTATCAATTGTAATACCTGTTCAGCAATGCCGGCTGCTTCAGCATATGCATCTTGTATATTCTCAGCAAGCCTGTGGAGAAATATATTTGATATGCCTCCTGCAGCAACAATGAAAGGACCGGTGGCGAGTGTAATCAATGCAATTTCCCAGCAGTTGACAAATCCAATAACAAGTCCACTGATAAACGTAGCCATGTTATGAATATAGTTTCCAACCTGCAAAGTCCAGGATCAGGAAGAAGATTAGAGAAATAGTAATATTACTCACAGTGAAAAAGAAAGGTATGAACGAGAAAACTAGAAATCAGAGTCAATATTAATGGAGCTGGAGAGACATACTTTTTCGCTTAACGCTGACTGAATGAGTAAGACATCGCTCAGCACTTGGCTCACAATATCCCCATTATTACCATACGTGTCAAAGAAACTCATATCCTGATTTAATAGTACTTGAACATACTTGGACCTGATCACAGCGGTCTGCCTCTCTCCAGTCAGTATCCAGCAAGAAACCTCTGTTATAAGAAACATTTAGTTACAGTGACAGTTAAAAAACGAAAAAAACGTCTATTATAAGAAACATTTATATGTATCTTAAACAAAAATCAACTTACCAATCCAACCAGAAATGAAAACACCCCCGGCAATATACACAATAGTCAACGAAAGCTGCACAAATGAGCATAAGTAAATTATAAGGAACACATACTTCGATTTGATTACGGAAAAAAAAAACGAATACTCATCATAGATAGACACTTGAGCAAAGAGATGGCTTGTCCGTATCAATGCATTTAATCCAGAAATTGAAGGTAAACAGTTCAGAAACACTCTCTCCAAACCAACTCAACCTTCTAATCCAGAAATGATAAACACATAAACGAAGCCAATTCCGAGGCAAATCACGAATAGTCAAAAAAGCTGAACTAACCTCGACGAGCCGGTCAAACTGATGCTCAGATCTCTGCTGAGTCGAATCATTAGAGAAAGCAAGAACATCAATAATCTTGGCGAAGTAATGCAAGTAGACAATAAGCGCAGTACCATGAGCAGCAGCAGCTACAGAGCCAACAATCATAAGGACCCAATCAAACCGGTCAGCGCAAGCGAAGAGCTGAGAGAAAGGAACAGCAGCAGGAGGAGGCTCAACCTCGTCTTGCTCCTCCACCTCTTCATCAGCCTCGGCTTGCGCCGCCGCCGTACCGGTGCCACCACCAGACTCAGCACCAGGGTCGAGATAAGGAGAAGGAGACTCGGGAGGCTCGGAGACTTCAGAGACTGGAGTTAAGGGTTGCATATGAGGTGGAGACCATCCGAATAAACCTCTAGAGATATTCATCTTTGGAGTCCCAGAAGGAGCACCACCACACACCCTTCTGTGTATTACCAAAAAAAAAAGAAAACCCTAGATTTAGAGATTTGTAGGGACTTTGATTTTTTTGGTTGTCTCTTAACTAAAATTAGCTGGATCTGTGCTATGTTTTGAATAAGAGGAGGAAGAAGATGAAGAAGAATCGTTGCTGAAGCGGAGAGAAGACGAAAAATAATTTTTAATATTTAATTTTTTGTTTTGTTTTCTCCAATAATTTTGGTGAGAGCTTTGATCTTTGTTTGTGTTGACTGTTGCCATTGCAGTGTGGCTTTGTTGTTTGTTTTTGGATTGTTGACAAGTACTGTGCCGTCAACCTACCGTAAATACAAGAGCTGGCTCTGCTAACCGGTCAATGCGACTTTGGGAGTTGGCGTACGGTTTTTTAAACTGGTGAGCTAATTATCAACTCTTCTTTAATCTAAGGTGTTAGGAAAGAGTTGTTAGAGACATATATATATAACACAATACACAAATCTCTTCTCTTTGTCAATTGTCATGGTTATTTATGTAGTGGTGAAATTTGTGAGGACAATGAATGTGGGCACGAACAAAATATAATTGGAGACGACAAATGAGGAACAACCTACATTTTGACAGAGCATTTGGTCTGTTTCGTTTTCTGCCTTTTTCCCCCGTAGCTGTAACATCGTATAATCTAATTTTAAAACCCTTTTTTTATTTTTAGGCAAAGTTACAAAACTGCGATTACGATTCAGATTGTGGTAGAAGGTGACCGGATGAAGTTAGTAAGCACAGTGCGGGACAGTTATCATTTGGAGCATAATCTTTATATCTTGAGAAAGAATATTGTTTTAAGGGGAAGAATGAACAAAAATACAAGAAATTGGCAGAGACAGAGAGCAAAAGTAACCTGACCAAACCTGATATTTTCAAATAGTGGTCTTGGCCTAATTCTTTAATAATTTGTTAGCCAAATGAGTACTTGGAATTGGAATGCCTAAACTGTAATTAGGTAAACAATATTATCTCTTTTATCATATACCATAGTTGTAAACAATGTAAAAAGGCCTTTTTCTACTAGTTTTTGACAGAGAATTTGATCCGTTTCGTTTCTGAATTTTTCGTCGCTGTAACATCACAATTTATAAGCCCTTTTCTGGTTAGTAGCCAAAGCTACAAAACTGTAACTAGGATTCAGATTGTGATTGGAGATCAAGTTGACCAAACTACATGTAGTGAAACTGAAGTTAGGGTAAAAAGCAGAGAGATAGAGAGGTAAGAGGCAAGTCAAGAGTAATTGAATCTCTCTTACAGGAAAACAATATTGTTAAGAGAAAGAGAGGAGAAGAATGGACAAAAATACAAGAGATGGGCCTTTTCAAAACAAGAGATTACCAAACCGAACTTTGATATATTCAAACAGTGATCTTGAAGGAATCTACCACAGTGTGAAGCCTTTCTTTCATCTTCTCCCACCTTCTTTCATTTGCCCCTGTCGTCAATGTGTAGAATTTTCCTGCACAACAAAACACCATTTTTATCAACTATCATTGGTCTGATTGGCATTGGATACTGCGGTGTAAACTTGATTATATGTTTTAAACTCGAAAAAATCAGATGTCATTGTGAAGTCATGGAGTTGATGATAGTACCATTGAACACAGTGAGTACACCCAGGGCATGGCGGGTGTAGTTTCTAGCCTGAACAGTGAACTCAAACTGATAATAAGTCTTCCCATCAACATCGTGCTGCAACAAACGAAACAAACCAAACAATAAAAACCACTTTCTATATGATTACACTTAAGAGCCTCAACTCGATGTATAGTTGAAATGTTATCAAAGGAGCAAACCTCTGATGCATCAACAAGGGTCGTTTTCTGATTTGGAGGAGCCAAGACTTTCTTTATCAGTGTTTCAGCGATCTGTGACCACCAAACCAGGTTCAATCATTTAAGAGAAACCTAATAAATGATAAGAGAGAAGAATGCTTCATTCCGATCAAATGATCATACCTGCTTGGGAGGGCCAAAGTCTTTAATAGTCTGTTTGCTAGTTGGGATCAAATTCACACTAACGCTTTCTAACGGCTCAATTACATCTTTGTATACCTTGTCTTGACCCTCAATCACAACTTCCTAAAAACATTCAAAACAAGGAGACAGACATGGTTAGTAAGTCTTTTTGTAATGGTCGGCGTTAACTAAAGAAGATCACAATGATACCTGCCACCCAAATGGATAGATAAACGAATATGCATCTTTATTATCAGAGACAGCAAGGAATCCCTTTTTGCTTTCTGCAGCAACTGAGCCATATCAATCCTCTTAGGATAACATTTCAAATTACACAAATTGCAAAAATCAGTGTCGAAAGGCAAATATGAAACGAAATTAGTATTGTAGAAACAGAATTAGTCTAGTGTTTTTGAAAAAAAGACTTACATGATACTGGAGCTCTACTTAGCAATGAGATCCAAGGAGCAACAACACCAAATGTTACAACCAGACGTCTCTGACATTTATCTGAAAATAAAAACACAAACTTTGTAAATGGGTAAGCAAAATAACACTCATTTTCTCATCAGAGCAGCAAAATCTACAAATCAAGTTGATGAATTGAAACCAACCCCTAAATTTAATAAGAACCACAAACCTTGAAGATTAGAAGAGGAGGACGAAGAATGCTCAGCTTTTACAAGAAATGAAACTCCTTTCCTAGAGCCAGGAACACCAACCTTAGGGATGGAGATTGGAGAAGAAGGTGAAAGCTTCAGAGAAGCCATTGTCGGAGAAAAAAGTGTATATGTGGTAGAGAGAGATAGATCTTTTATTGTCTCTTATGGATTCGGTTCTGTCTCAGTTTATCCACTTTGAAACTTCCTGACCTTTTAAAAAGATGCCAGCGAGAACCGATGTTTAAAACAAAATTTGCAAAAAAGACCATTCAAAATAACTAGTCTCACAATCACCGCCTGCTATTATTTGAGGTGTATATAGGATTACGGTGAACGAGTTTGGGCTCTTTGTTAGAGCACTAGTGCATAGACTCTTTTTAAAAGCCCAAAATAAACCTAAAGCCCAGCCCATATGAAGGTCGAATCAAAATCATCCATTAGGGTTTTGTGTTAATTTTATTTTTTTGGCGGTCTGAACTCTGAACTCAGTTTGATGAACCATTGAAGATGGTGCTGTCGAACAAGAAGCTGAAGCAGAGGATTCGAGAAGATTTGGTTAAATCACTATCTGTCTCTGTAGCCGAAACCAATGAAGAGTCTCAGTCTCAGTCTCTGAAAGAGCTCCTTGATTCAGCTAGTCACAAACCCAGATTGTCAAAGAGAGAGAAACGAAGAAATAGCGAAACTTGCGGCGCTGGAGGAGACGACGGAATCAGAGAGAGCGAAGTGGAAGATGACGTTGAAAATGGTGGGCCAAGCGAGAAAACTGATACTAAGATTAGAGCGACGAAGAGAAAGAGAGAAGATACTGTGGAAGGCGAATTAGAAGGAGATGAAGGGACTAAGGAAGGGGAAAATCACCAGGAGAAGAAGAAGAAGCAGAAAAAGAAGAAGAAGAAGAAGAAGAGAAAAGTAAACAAAACGCCGAAGAAGGCTGAGGAAGACGGTGTAGAAGAGAAGGCTAAGGTAGAAGAGATTCAAGTGAATATTACTGAGAAGTAAGTTTGTTCAATCGACTTCATTTTAAGCTCTGTTGTTGTAATTATGTTTCAAATTTATGTATATTGACTTTGTGTCAATCGACTTGTTGTTTGTTTTGTTATCAGTAAAGAAGAAGATGGGGTTGTTCCTAAGAAGTTATATGTTGGGGGTATTCCTTATCAGAGTACAGAAGATGAGATTCGTAGCTACTTCAGAAGCTGTGGAGTCATCACTAAAGTTGACTGCAAGATGCGTCCTGAGGATGGGGCATTCAGTGGTATTGCATTCATCACTTTCGAAGTAAGTTTTTTTTTTATCTAACATTGCTGTTTCGTATCTTGGGATATGTGCATTAGATTCATTTTTAGCTGTGTGGGACATTGATATGATGCAGCTTTTGTTTTTTAAGAACATACATATCTCTTCATTGTTTTGAGTTTAGAGTTAGTTGAGTTTCAGAGATATAATCAAGGCTTCTGTAGAATACTGCATAGTGGCATTTGAACTTATTAGTTTTTTGCCTTGTGGCTGGAGATTAGACATTGGTTAAGTTGACTGTGTTCGTTTCATTTATACAGACTGAAGATGGTGCAAAACGTGCTTTGGCTTTTGATAGAGCTGCAATGTAAGTAATCTATAGCCGGGACTGGTTTTTATTTTTAAGACTTCCTTGTTAACACTTGATATAGTTGAGTAATCCTTCTTTACTTTACTACCAGGGGTGATCGATTCTTGACAATCCAGCAATACGTGAAAACCACCACCCCTTCTATTCCCAGAAGAAAACCATCTTCTGGCTTCGCTCCAGAAATGGTGGATGGCTATAACAGGGTGTACATTGGGAATTTAGCCTGGGACACAACAGAGCGTGACATACGGAAACTCTTCTCTGACTGTGTAATAACCTCAGTGCGGTTGGGCAAAAACAAAGAAACGGGGGAGTTTAAAGGGTACGCGCATGTGGACTTCAAGGATAACGTGTCTGTGGCAATTGCACTGAAGCTGGATCAGCAGGTTATTTGCGGAAGACCTGTCAAGATTTGCTGTGCCCTTAAAGAGAGACCAGTACCTGATGAGACAACCAATGTTGGTTCATACAACACGGAAGAGACTTATGCTGCTGCTGAAGTGCCTAACGAAGTTAATAACGGAAACTACTTTACAACCACGGTTAGCAGCGGTAAGATCAAAAAGAGGGTCTGTTATGAGTGTGGTGAAAAGGGCCATCTTTCTACAGCATGTCCGAAAAAACTTCAAACTGCTGATGATCTGGCAAACTCAAAGCTGGGTCAGGAGACTGTCGATGCTGGACAGGCAATGCAAAGTTATGCTCTTCAAAAGAATAGTGGTGATTCGTACTACATGAATGAGGCATATGCTGCTTCATATGAAACTAATAATGGAAGCTTACCAACCCCAGTTAGTACTGGTAAGGTCAAAAGAAGAAACTGTTACGAGTGTGGAGAAAAGGGCCATCTTTCTACAGCATGTCCGAAAAAGCTTCAAAATGCTGATGATCAGGCAAACTCAAAGCTGGGTCAGGAGACTGTCAATGCTGGACCGGCTATGCAAAGCTATGGTCTTCAAAAAAATAGTGGTGATTCTTACTACATGAATGAGACATATGAAGCTAATAATGGAAGCTTACCAACCCCAGTTAGCACTGTTAAGGTCAAAAGAAGAAACTGTTACGAGTGTGGAGAAAAGGGTCATCTTTCTAGTGCTTGTCCCAAGAAGCTTCAAAACACTGCTTACACAAACTCAAAGCAGGATCACCAGACTGTTGAGGAAGGACTGACTCATGTAGCAAGCTATAGTCTCGAAAAGGAATCAAGAGATACTGAGAGCAACGGTGATTCTTTCATGGATGAGACATATGCTACAGATCCTATATCCGTTGCTGTGACAAATGGAGCTAATGATGGAAACTCAACATCCGTGGTTAAGACTGGGAAGGTCAAAAGGAGAAACTGTTACGAGTGTGGAGAAAAAGGTCATCTCTCTTCAGCATGTCCTAAGAAGCTGCAAAAACAAGGCTGATCCCACAACCACATGCTCTACAAAGAACAGCTTAAACATTGTAACATTTTTTCAAAAGTTTTGCATTTCAGTTTTACGAATATGGAAGGACGTGGACCACTTGATGAAAGAGTGGAGTTTTGGTCCTACATGTTGATTCTGTATTCCTTTAGTATGATCTTTTATAGAATTCTCTAAAGTCCAAACCATAAGAGTATCCTCCAGAGTCTCTCGCATATATCATCATCACTTGATATATTGGTTTTTGATTTCCAGGCTCTCCAATCCTCTCTTCTCTTTCAGATGTTGTTTCCATAAAATTACTACATTACATAGAAGATCAAGCACCAAGATCTTGTAATATCGGCACAAACAAAGTAGTTAAGGTCAGAGACAAAGAGTTCTTGACTTAGAAAAAATAATAGAGTCAAAGAGTAGAGATGTTTTTTTTGGTTGAGGTCAACGAGTAGAGATTGCTTTAATAGCATCGACGGTTTCGAAAACATGGATTATTTCCCTTTTTTTTTTTGTTTTCTTCAAAATATAAGAAAGTATAAAGGTATTTTACAAAACCTTAATAAACCTTGTTTAGTTTGCAATTTAATCAACAAAACAAGTGGCAACCCGAAATTAAAATTAAAAACCAATGGTCACGTTTTTTTTATTATTTTGAAACTCCAAATCCATATAATATATCATCTCATCACATTACCCCAAATTTCTCCTCTTTAGTACTTGTCTGTGCATGCTTTAAAAGCTCGAAACCCAGAAACACAAAACCAAAAAAAAGATAGCTCTTTGCTGAAGTTGTTTTCTTGGATTCAATCTAAAAGAGAGAGTTTTTGTTTTGATGGGACCTGTCAAAACGATAAAGAAGAAGAAGAGAGCGGAGAAGAAGGTTGATCGGAACGTTTTGCTTGCTGCTGCTGCTGCTGCTTCCTCCGCCTCCGCCGCTGCTCTTAATAGCGAGGACGATGACTCATCATCTCAGTCCGTGGATTGGTGGGATGGATTCTCTCGCCGTATTTCTGGTATCTCCTTCCTTCACTCCCTTGTTGTTGTTTGTTTCTTGCATTGGCATCGAGTATATTATGATTTGTGGATTCTTATTAATTGAACTTGCAATTTCAATGCTGCTAAGAGCAATTAGATTGAATGGGGATTAGATTAGAATCGTAAGATTCAGATTTGCATTGTTAAAGTAGGAAAGATGTGTTCTTCTATCTTACTTTGTACATTCGAGTATTGTTTCGATCTATTGATTTGGTAGTCTCTGGGTGTGTGAGTTCCTCTTATTTGATTTTGGTTGCTGACTTAAGTGAGCACTATGATACTTGGAAGGGTATTATTTAGTGGAGATGAAGTTTTGTTCTTTTTAAGGCTGTAGGGGTTGGATGAGTTTGGGAGGCGTATATAGATGCTAAGTTAAGTAGTTGATTCTTTTAATTTGGTTTAAGCAACTTTGAGCTTGTAATGCCCTGCCTTAGTGTTTTGATTTAAGTGATTTGAATCTTTTAAGACTCTGGGAGTAGCAGACTCTGACTAGACTGTGTTTCTGTGTACCCATCCTGGAAGATAATTTTGTTTTCTGAGCATGACATTATTAATCTCTGTGACAGAGACAGCTAGATATATATTTAGATGTCTCTACCAGTGATAATGTGATTGAAATTTTCCAACTACTTTGTTTCGGTTATCCCGTTCCTTCTCTTCATGTGTAGGTCAATGATAAAAGCAATTGACAGGTGCTGATTAGCTTCTACTGCTTTTGCATTCTTCTTTTAGTTTACATAGTGTTGTTTTTAAGCTGTTTCAGTGTTTTATGAGCTATGTTGTGATTTGAACAGTTACGGATCTGCATGATTCTTTTACACTGACTTCATTACAATGAACATCTGTCTATTTATTAAAGACCAATGAGCTTGATCTTGCATACATTGTTGATTTTTTGTAGTCACTATATCATGTTTTTTATTTATCTCCTTTGTCAGGGTCGTCGGATCCAAAGACATTTGAGTCAGTTTTCAAAATATCAAGGAAGACATTTGACTACATTTGCTCTCTTGTGAAAGACGATTTCACAGCAAAGCCTGCAAATTTCAGTGACTCAAATGGGAAACCTTTATCTCTCAATGACCGTGTAGCCGTTGCTCTTAGGAGGCTTGGCTCTGGCGAATCTCTCTCAGTCATTGGAGAGACTTTTGGGATGAACCAGTCAACAGTCTCCCAAATCACTTGGCGCTTTGTCGAATCAATGGAGGAGAGAGCAATGCACCATCTCCAATGGCCTTCGAAACTCGATGAAATAAAATCAAAGTTTGAGAAAATCTCAGGTCTTCCTAATTGCTGTGGCGCAATCGACATTACACATATAGTTATGAACCTTCCTGCTGTGGAACCGTCAAACAAAGTTTGGTTGGACGGAGAAAAGAACTTCAGCATGATATTGCAGGCCGTAGTGGACCCTGACATGAGATTTCTCGATGTAATTGCTGGTTGGCCTGGAAGTTTAAGCGATGATGTCGTCCTAAAGAACTCGGGATTCTACAAACTAGTTGAGAAAGGGAAAAGACTGAACGGGGAAAAGTTGCATCTCTCAGAAAGAACTGAGCTAAGAGAATACATAATAGGGGATTCTGGTTTTCCTCTTCTTCCCTGGCTTCTCACTCCATACCAAGGCAAACCCTTGTCGCTGCCTCAAACCGAGTTCAACAAAAGACACTCGGAGGCAAGAAAAGCCGCGCAGATGGCAATGTCGAGGCTTAAAGACAGGTGGAGGATAATAAACGGGGTGATGTGGATGCCTGATAGAAACCGGTTACCGCGGATAATCTTTGTCTGTTGCTTGCTGCACAACATTCTTATCGATATGGGTGACCAAACTTTGGATGATCAAAATTTGTCTCACCAACATGACATGAATTACAGGCAACGAAGCTGCAAGCTTGCCGATGAGGCTTCATCGGTCTTGAGAGATGGACTCTCTGATAAATTGTGGGGGAAAAACTCTTCAGCGTGATTACTCTCTGCCCCTCCCCCCGTTCGTCTGGTCTTTCTGTAAAAGCTTCATTTGCTTCTGTTTCCTTCGGGTAATTTTGTTTTGCAACATTTTTTGTTTGATCTATTAAAAAATATTGGCGTATTCTTTTGAGACAACTAAAATGTGTAATCTATAAATGTTATGTTTAATTTCTTCCTAAGCTATTACTGTATATCTTTATATTCTTCATGATGCTTTGCAACTTGTTTTCTCTTCCATGATAAAAAAAAATGACAATGACAGTCTTCCAGTACATTTCGATTGATCATAAAAGCCATAGCATATAACACTTTCCTATGGATTTATATGTAACTGTGATCATTTTTCTTATTGACTTGAAGTATGCAATACATAGGAGGATTTGGTTTGCGTGAGAAACAACTAAAGAAGCACATTCTAAAATTCTCTAACTTAAAAAAAAAACATCTCGAAACAAAAGGAAGGAATGAACAAGTTATAACCAATACAGATTGACCCCAAAGAAGAACAATACAGAGAGAGCAAAGAAAATATCTTTTTTTAACTTTATTACGAGATTCAACTGATAAGCGACAATGGCTTCTAAAGGAATGGAGGAAGTATCACCCATCGTCTTGGATATTTTGGTCTCCCATCTTTCCCATCAAATATCTGCAATACCAATATCAAAACCCCACAATAAGAACCACACAAACAAAAAAGAAGAAGCCAAAGTTTGAAAGTATTCAAGTTCTCGCAAAATGAAAACTTTGTTTACCTTTCTCAGACGGCTGTGCTTTCCAAGAGCCCAATTGGTCATGATTAGAGCAGCAACAGCTAGGAAGACATATCCTGCAACGGTCTGAGTGGCAATGTTGAATCCTAGCCATTGGTAAATCTCGGTCGTGTAATTGGCACATGTAACAATGTTGAAGAGGAAACCGCGTGGAATCTGGTAGCCTCCAGACCCACTGGGGTCCCTAAGATTCTTCAGCAAAATGTGACAGTAGAAATTTGCTACTTGGCAGACCAAACCAAACCCGAAACCAATCTTCATCTGAAGGTCACTGACTGGTGTGTACAAGGGATGGTTGACGTAATATGCAATGTAAGCACCAAAGCTCCAGTAATAAGCACAGTTCCTGAACACATTCGCGATTGGGGAGGTTGCGTGGCTGAACCTATGAACGAAGAACGTTTCTAAGATCCGTTTGAAGTAGTGAAAGCACCAGTAGTACATAGCATACGTTTGAACTGGATGGATCACACGGTCCTCTCCAAAGCCAAGGAATTTGTAAACAGGGAAGTAGTAAAAGACCGGGTAGATAAGGAGAGGGCCAAGATACTCAAAGAAGAAGAGCGTGCGGTAGGAAACTTGAGCCCCCAAGTCTTTAAAGACTACAGTTAAGGAGTTGTTGTTCCCATCACAGTACTCCTTGAGTGATTTCTTGCTATTGAGGACGACAGGTTTCTCCTTCGATCCAGGAGTTACAGGAAGAGTCAGTCTTTGCCTCGACGGGTAAAACTTCTTAGCTGTTGAAAGAAGAAACACCAATTGAGAAAGAAGAAGAACAAAAATTATCTTTCTCAATAGAAGGAAATATTAATGGACACTCCTAAAGTGAACATTTTTTTTGGCTGAAAAGGGACTGATCCATTATGAGAAGAGGTTGTTATGATTGATACAAAACCAAAACTGTGTTTAGAAGCTTAAGTGAAACTTCTCACCATAAAGCATTATCAAATCTAAATACTCATGTAAGCTTCCACAATATAACTCCATAAGCATTCAATTCCAAAAGGAGAACGCAAACACATAAACTCTGCAATGTGGCATGACAGTTTAACACTAGCTTACACACACAGAGACTAGATCTATTTTCAACATTCGACAAGTCAAATTTCTAGTAAAATGAAAAATTTCGAAACTTTACCTCTCTTATGAAACGCTTCTTGTAGATCAGCAACAGTGGCCTGCGTAGAACAAACACACACACACACAAATCGAATCAGCAACCACAAAATCAAAGTAAAAGAATGAAACTTCCCCTACATTTCTACAAGGCGAAATCGAGCAAGCAAACAAAAGGAACCAAAAACCCTCAAATCACATTTCAGAAACAGAGGCCACTAATCAGAAGAAGAAGCAGATCGAAGAAGAGTATCATAAAGAAAGGAGAAAGTACCGAATCGGGGAGGTCAAGGGGAGCCTTGAGAACTTCTCTGCCGCTGCGGGAGACGACGGTGACCTTCATGGGGGATAAAGCGGAGAAAACGAGGAAGACCCAGATGAGGAAATAGAGAGAAAGAGAAAGAGGAAACTAAATAGAAAGGATCAGAGGAAGAAGACGAGATAGAGCATTGAAGAGGATGTAGTTGGGAGTAGGAGAACTAACTATCTTCCCAACTATTATACGATTGGGACCATTTATTTTAGTTGCTTGCTGCTTCTACCTCACCTCTTTACTTCATTTGTGTTTTGCTGCTCCCATCTTTTTTTGGGTTTTATTATTTACTCCAAATTGTAAAATTTGTTGCAATTTGCAATTTATGGCTTTGTTTTAAGGATCACTTAAAACATTCTTCAGTTTCATTTTTTTTTGTTGGTTTATGACTTTATGTATCTAGTTTTAGTTTAAGTTTTGTATTCGAATTTTAATCAAATATATCTTCATTTTCGATTTGCGATCGGTTATTATTTTCTTGCAGCCATGAGATTAATGTGTCAACCTAGATGAGATTTGATTTGTTATGTAACATGGTAAAAAATTGTAAGGAACTGCCTTATACATAAAGGGGAGTAAAGAGAAAGAATCCTCGTTGTTGTTGTCGTTTAAAAGACGTAAATGCTCCCTTGATTAAACCACATGGAAAGTAGTACGTACGTAGTGTGAGTTATTAGTTAGTTGGTCAACGAAGTTTGCTTAGCTATTTGTCATTCAGACGCCACGATCAACAACAGTTAGTATATTGACCGGCCCAACAATGATAAAATTTTACTTCCAAGATGTAAGCCTCAATAGATCGAAACAAGACAGGCTTCGTCCGACACGGCTAAACATATGTTTCGAGTCCTTTAAACGGTTTTTGTTGATAATGAATGAGATAGTAACGAGACCATTGTTCATTGCCGAACCGAAACTACTTCACTTACAACTATACCAAGGCGACAACATGCAACCAAATACCATAACGTACTCCTCACTTTACAAAGCTATATAGAGCTACGTACAATTCGTCTGAAACTTTTTATCCAATCTACCACAATTTGAGAGCATTAGTCTATGTAACTCTACAAGTAATGACTTTAAAAAGGGGCAACACCATATCGAGTATGAAACACTTTAAAGGAGTTATTAGAAATCCGTAAGCTAGCTAGTTTCAAATAGATTATGGCTATTGTATGTATATCTTTTCGACCATTAATTGTATTTTAAACTTTGGAGCATTTCTCTTGCAAATGAAATTATGTGCATGTTCTTGCATTAGACTCTAGGCATCTTCGACTAAAGAATGGCACGTGATAACAGTTTTTATGTGATGCTATATCGATTCGATTTTTTCTAACTTCAAATATATATATATATATATATATATATATATTGAAAACTACGATATTGATCAAGCTATGTGAGTAGTAAATACCGTATCAAAGAGATACATAATACATATTAATGTGCGTAGATGTGAATATGGATGCAAGAAAAGAAAAGAAAAAGCTGCATGCAGAGAAGGTGCATGTTGCTTTACAACCATGAATATGGGACTCATGAGATGTACACTACCGATCATGAGAAGATTCTTTTTAGCTGCATGAAAATGTGTTACCAACATATAAAAAATTAAAACACATGCACATTTGAACATTTCTATAAAGACCAACTTCTTTTAAATATATAATAAATTCTTTAAACATACTAAAACTTTTACAAAAGAAAATCTATATATATTGTAAAAAAAGAAAAACACATGCATATTTCTATGAAGATACCTATTATCCCTCTGGTTCAACTATACTTCAAAGCACAACATATCTCAATTACTCAAACATATAACTAATTATCATGTTCTTGTATCATATGTTATTTTCTACACCAATCTTGCTCGCGTTGCTGATGAAAAAGGAGGTTTGTAAGATAAATTTAGTTCTTCTCAACTGGCAAATAGATATATTACACACAGTACTCCCCCCCCCCCCCCAAAAAAAAAACCCACAATCAGCATATGTATATTACAATAAAAAAATAAAATTAGAGCATTCGATCATTTCTTTCTTTTTGTGTCACCTTCATCCAACTTTCCAAGTAATTCAAATTTAGTGGAAGGCCTTCTTAATTATACGTTTGTCTCAGTTTGATCATTTCTTAGTTGATACATTTTTCTCAGTGAAGATGATGATTAGAGGGAGAGATATGTTTGCTAGCTAATATATTGGAATACATGTATATAATATCATTAGGTATTTATTTTATGGTAAATATGACAAATTAATTATATAAGTTATATATATCGTTAGCAATGTTTGCTGTTACGTGTCGACATAGTGAGGTCCATTGAAAAAGAAGGTCTCTGATTAAATTTGCAATTTGGACCACAAATCTTTCTTTTAGAAATCGCGGTCGGTATTGGGACACCTTCCTACAATACATGTCCATCTTTACGTACGTCCCCTCACAATATTTGTAAACATAAATCATCAAATACACATAAGAGTTACGTTGGTGATCATAAATTCGAAATATCTTTTCCAATAAAGCATAAATTTTCGTGTTACCGGTAAGTTATATTATAGGGTCAAATCAAGCAAGAATCACAAAAAGAAAGAAAGAAAGAAACAACCGTGTCTGAATCATCATGATTTGATATGTTTGGCTAACTATACTTTCTAGCTTGGATAATTAATTTACAACACAAGATAGCTTGTTAGACCTACGAATTTCAGGAAGAAAAATAAAACACACGTTATAGTGGACAGAATCATAAGACTGAATGAAGCTAGAAGCTCTTGAAGCTAGAATCCTACATCATTCTTAAGACTGAATGAATCAATAAAAACTCCCCATGCAAAGGTAATTTATTTTTATAAGACAAAAACAACAATGACGATATAACTACAAGAATGATAACTATAATACTATGAAAAAACGAGAGTTGGGGTCACACCCGAGGAAAAACAAAGGGTACACTCGATTGTGACAACTCCACCAAAGACCACCCCACTACCAATTCCACCTTTATTTCTTCTTTCTTTATTATTTCAAAATCTTTTTGTTTCTTTATTAATTTATCTAATTATTCGCCTCTCTCTCTCTCGTTTTTTTTGTGTGGACCTTTTTAATTAAAAAAAGAAGATGAAGGGAGGTGCCAGGGTTTCTCTTTCTGCATGGCCAGGCCACTCTCGCTCTTCACACATCTCTTTTTGGGCACCAGTGTGTGTAAACGTATGCAATTTGTTTTTTTTTTTTCTTTCTTTAAGAAAAGCTTACATGCTAAGAAAACTATCTTTCCTTGTCGTTACTCTCATAAAAGAATTATATCTTTCGTTGCTAATGATAATACAATATATTTAGGAAGTGGGATCGGATCGGACTAGGAGCGAATTATCTACCAACTTAGACTTCAATCGTCTCTTTTGCTTACCGATATTGACAATTACCATACACAATACACACATATGATATAATTTTCCTTCAACAACCAAAATGCATGTAGTAGTGAAATGGTTTGATCAAACTCCATACGGACAGGCGAACAGCTATATGTGTGGACAGACAAGTTAACAGATATTTATGGACTGTATTAATTCATCTAAAAACATGTTTAGGTAAATATATTAATATATCTATTTTAATTGGAGAAGTTGATGTTTTTTTCTGAAATATGATATGTAAACCGTATAGTTTTAGTGGAAATGTCTACAACATAAACATCTTAAAAATATTTTTTAATCAATAGTTTACTGTCCCTAATTAGCAGTCTGCGAAATTAATATTAGTATAACATATGAAACAAATGTAAACGTGATAAATATATATACAATGATACAAACAAGAAATAGTGACGTAGACGATTGACTTGTAAAAATAAGCAAACAAAAAAAACTTGTTCAAATCAACACTTAATTCCAAAAAGGTTAACAATAACTAAGTAAGAAGTTTTTTTTTTCTTTTTGATGAAAACAAAAAGAAATATAAAATCTGAAGAGAATGATGAAAATTGAAAAACAAAAAAATAAAGAGTAAAGAGAATTAGGAAACACAATAAATTAAACAAGGAAACTTCATTTCTTCTTCTCTTTATCCCATTCATCAGCTCATCTCTTCTCTCTTCTCTCTCTCTATCAGTCTGTCACTATAGATCAATTCTTTTCTTCTCTATGATGTGATTCTCCACCATATCTGCAACCTCTTACCTAAAAAAAACACACAATTAAAAGATGGTTTTCTCATCTCTTCCACTTAATCAGTTTGATTCACACAACTGGCAGCAGGTAATATTAGATGTTCTTGATTCTTTCTTTCTTTTCCTCTCTAAGTTCGATCAAGAATTCAAGATATATGAAGATTTTTGATTTATTCGACAAAAATTGCTAGTTAGCTTCTTTTCCTTGTTCGTATATACTTATAAATATTCTGTAGCCGATAAAAACCTTTTTCACATCTTCTTGAATATACCGGTAATTCATATAAAGGTGATTATAATTTTGGTCTTTATTTTTCTATTTCAAGACTTTGTTTTTGTTTTTGTTAAGTTTAATATGCCTATTGATCAATGATTTCCTTATAGAATATATGTATTTTTTTCTCTTTGTTTAGCTTTTTACACATTGAATTTAACAAAAAGTTACTATGACTTTGATCAAAAGAAACTATAATAAATCTGCAATTCTTGTCAAAGTAGAACAACCATCGATATCTTTTCTTTCGTCTCCGTCGACCAATGTTTTCAACTCGAATCGTTTCTTTATAATTTGTTTCTGCTTTATTGCAATCTTGAAAAAAAACTAAGTACTAATGTTAATATGCAGCAAGGAAGCCAACAGCAGCTTGACAGTGTCACAACTGACCACAATCCTAGTAATTATTTAAGGCAGCTCTCATCACCACCGGCTTCACAGGCTGGCTCGAGCCAAGCTAGAGTGAATTCAATGGTGGAACGTGCTCGAATCGCGAAAATCCCATTGCCTGAAGCAGCTCTAAACTGCCCTAGATGTGACTCTACCAATACAAAGTTCTGTTACTTTAACAACTATAGCCTTACTCAGCCTCGCCATTTCTGCAAAACATGTCGCCGCTATTGGACACGTGGCGGTGCCCTGAGGAACGTTCCTGTTGGAGGAGGCTTTAGGAGGAACAAGAGAAGCAAATCCAACGGCGGGAGATCAAAATCTACAGTCTTGGTCTCGGCTGATAACAATACTACTACTTCATCTCTTACTTCTCACCCAAGTTACTCAAACCCTAGCAAGTTTCTTAGTTACAGCCAAAGCCAAGGTTTTACTTCCAGCTTACCCATATTGCCTCCTCTCCAAAGCCTTGGAGACTACAATTCAAGCAACAATGGGTTAGATTTTGGCGGAATTCAAATAGGCAACGTGATAAGTGGGGTGAGTTCTAGTGCTCGGATCTTGGATCCATGGAGAGTACCTTCATCGCAACAAGCTCAACAATTCCCTTTCTTGATCAATACTACCGGGTTGGTACAATCTTCAAATGCCGTGTATCCGTTACTAGAAGGTAATGAAGCTGTTAGCCAAGCCGATCCACAACAAAAGAGCAGTGATTATTCCAATCAGCTAATGACGGATTTGGCTTCAGGTGGGGATGGCGCCGCGCAAACTAGAAATGTGAAGGCAGAAGAGAATGATCAGGATCAGGGTAGGGATGTGGACGGTCAGAATAACTTATCGAGGAACTTTTTGGGGAATATTAACATAAACTCATCCGGGAACGATGAGTACACATCATGGGGCGGTAACACTTCTTGGACTGGTTTCACGTCTAACAACGCAACAGGCCATCTCTCATTCTAAGTACTTCTTGGACTAGCTATTCTTGATGATTTTTTTGTTGGTTGGGTTATATTTATATATATGGGAGTTTATTACTACTGATCGGAGAGATCAAACCATGCAGCTATATGCCTATATCCGAAGGCTAATTTTGGGGCTCGAAGGAAAGGGTATGGTTATGAATTAAAACTATCTTTTTAATCTTTTTAAAGATCTTCAAAGTGTGAGTGTGAGTATATGTTAATTGGTTAAGCGCTTCTGGTGATATATGTTTAATCAGAATATGGTGTTATTGGCTTTATATAGAGGTGTGGGTGATGTATGAATTCAAGAGTTGATGATGATGGAAACTTTTTTGTGTGTTCATTTAGATAACCAGCCAAATTCTCATTTTAATGGATTTCCAAGAGCATGTAATGTATTTTGAACTTAACATAATTAAGTCGAATTTTATAACTATGACCAAATTAAGTAAATAGTATATACAGTACATATAACATCTATCGGATTTGGCTATTTTCCCCATATAACATCTCTATTTTAATATCAGGATATGATTTACTTCTTTGGTCCAACTTATACTCTGATTCTTTTTTTTCTTTTTCTTAAAGATATATTGTCGTCTTTTTCCTTTTTTACTTTTCAGAGACCCAAAAAAAGAAAAAAAATGAAACAAAAAAGAGAGATTGGGGTTGCATTTTCAATTTTTCATATGGTATCACATTCATTGAACGGATCCAATGTAATATATAAGACTCGTTTGTTCAAATGTTTTCGTTTGCATATTATATGACAGTAATTATAATTAATAAGTTAATAGGTGGGAGTGTTCATACCCTAAATACGAACGAAGAGTTTAGCAAAAAAATAAATACGAACGAAGAGTACATTTTCCACAATTCTATCGATGCCATTTTTTTTACATATGGAGTTTCTTTATATTCAGAGTCCCCAAAATATAAGAAACTCCATGTAATTTTTTGTAATTTAATAAATTCATAATGGTAACTATGATGTGTGATATTTCAAAAGAAGAAGAAAAAGAAAGAAAAAAGTAATCAAAGACAAATAAACCGAGCTAAAGAACAATGGAAAATACAGTTATAAGGAATTCTGGGATTTTTTGTTTTTTGTTTCAAAAAAAAAAAAATTCTGGGATTTTTTGTCGTAACTTGTAAGTGACAAAACTAACGTAAGACGAGAGAACACAGATTTAATGGACAAAAGCACGGACATATGTAGGTACATACATCCATACACACACTTATACACCATAATTGTAAGCAATCATGCATATGTTTTCCATTTTTATGTTGATATTAAATTAATTTATTATTGAGTAAAAACGTTATTTAATTTATAAAAGATACAAACGTACGTTTTCGACAATGTCTGTTGGTTTAAGCTTGACAATAGATTGAAATAAAAGCTATCCTAATCCTAGTCATAATATGGTTATTAGAGATAAGGTTTAATGTTTAGGAGTTATCTAAACATGGGTGTTTCCTTATAGGAGTAGGAGTGGTGTTTGTTATAAATACATATGTTGACTCATAATATATTGTAAGAGGCTTTTGAGAGAGCTTAAGAGTTTTAGTTTTTGAGAGAGTTTTCTAAAGCATAATAAAGAGAGCAATTCTCTATAACATCTTAAGTTCTTTTACAATCTTACAAACTAGAATGTCTTCAGCGACATTGAAGGTAACAAGATCAACCCAAACAAGAAAGAAATAACATGTTTTTGATTGTATTTAAACGGAGTTGATTTATGATTAATGAGTGGCAATCTTCAAGGATATATGGAATCTTGGGACTTTTGGATCTACTTTTGTAAAAATCAATGCCTTCAACTATCTTTTTCCCCATGTAGCATTGTAGTTTTAGTAAATTATTAAGGCATACACCCAATCCAATTTCAGAAATATACCCGATAATTATAAGTGCAAAAATAGCAAATGCGTCAAAAAAGAAGAAAAGAGAACAAAAATAAAAAAGAGAGGAAAAAGAGAATCTTATGTTAAAGAAGTCTCGTCCTCCTCCATAGATATATGATATATCAATGTAAGTTTAGACCCAAAGGACATCTTTCTAGTTTTACTTTCTTTCTTTTCAATGTACGTTTTCAATTTTCATAGTAGTAGTAGCTCACGTTCTTCCACATGCCCTCAAATCATAACAATTAAGAGAAATGAAAAAAGGAAAATTAATATTTTGTAGGAGGGAATGAAGAAATGGAGAGTGTTAATTTCTTAATTAAACTATTTGTGGAGGGACTGATTGAGGTGCAGAAAAATCAATATAGATTATATAATGGTTGAGATCAAGTGTGTGATAATGTGTTAGGAGGGATTGCAGATGTTAAGTTAGTTACTATTAGCCCAAGTAAAGCATATATATATGGACTTCATATTGCCTTGGTTTGGGCTTTTCGTTTGCATAAGATCTTCAGTGGGTGTTTTTAGCATTTTCGGACTCCTTCCAAGATCTCTTAGACCATCATTAACGATGGTTGTTTGGTGTTTCTTAGTAATATCTTAGTTGTTTTTAGATTTAAATTTAAATCATAATCAGCTTAATTCTATAAGATACGTCTTCTGCTCAAGGAAGAATGGCTTTTGGTTGCTAAGAGCATGATTATTGGTAAGCTTTTAAGTTTTAATCTTAGTATTAGTTTATTAGTAAAATTGAAAAAGTTAAAAGATAAGAGTTGTATTTTGGTTTTTAGTTTTGAGATTGATTATTGGTAGACTCTTAATTTAGAATTCTTAAAAAAAAAAAATTATTTAAAAATTTGGTTTTAATGGTCTTTAGAAGGTTATACTTGTAGAATATGGAAGAAGGTGAATTGTATTTCTGAAACCAAATTTCATATAATTGTATTTGTAAAGTACAAATGCCCAGAATGTGTGATGGTTTTTGGTTTCGTTATTTCATATTTAAAACCACAAATACAAATTCCTGAAAAATACAAATGCCCAGAATGTGTGTTGATTTTTTCCCCTTTCTTTTTCTTCTTCTTCGGCCACTTACACACAAACACGTGTCCGTCTCTTAGGCTTAAGCTTACCTCTTAATTAAGATACGTCTTTTACCATTTTGCATCATTAATTATTTAATTTTATTCCATAAAAGACCTAAGAAACATCTAAGGACCCACCGTTAATCATGGTCTAAGCGTATAATTATACTACTTTGAAGCTTGTATGTGTGTGTGAATGTTTGTAAGGCATGATTGATTGCTCTCCTACCAACTGTAATCAAAGAATTCATGAATTAGGCTAATGAGATTCCTAAGTTTGCAAGGCTCTAGTGTGATGATACAGTTGAAGTCTCGTGGATTGTGATTAATCAAGTTCTAATAAAGAGCTGAAGACAGAAACAAAAACCATTCTGATTTTGTAGTGACAGTACTTAGAATGTTGCCTCGTGCTAGGGGGACATTGTTATCTTAGATCATTAGTGAAAGTGTTATCTCAGACCATTGTCCTAGACTTAGTTGGTGTATGAGCTTGTGGGTCTTATCACTAAGCCTATAAGCAAAAGGATTATGTGATCCGTAAGATGTTAAACAATCACCAAAGTCGTCTTTATGCTGTGACTTAGTCTATAAGATGTTGATATTTGCTATGAGAGTAGAAAAAGTCTCCCTAGGTATAAGTATTGTGCTGTCTACATTATCAATTAAGGAAAAAAGATGGCTACCTACACCAATTATAGAGCAATGCATGGTCACACATACCAAATATCATATTGTACACTTAGCTACACGAACTAGATATATTGTATGGCCACATGCATCAACTATACAACGTCATGTAGACAACACCATAAACATAAAATTCTGGTACACCGGTCAACTGATTCTGGCGTTGACCGGTGTTGACTCCGGCGTTAACCGTTTTTGACCAAAAAAAATATTCAAATTTTTTCTTTATATAATTTTATTTATAGTGTTAAAAAGACTAAAAGTTATAATTATTTTATAATGAATTGTTATGGTTTTGTATACTTTAAAAAATTATAATCTTAGGAAGAAAATTGTAACAATGATTTTTGTATTTAAGTAAATCACATAATAAGTTAATGGTTTTGATTGAAAATGTGAAAATAAGCAATTCTCTTACTAATTCATAAGATTTTTCGAGTTTCAGTTTAGATTATAATATCTTGAACTATTTTACTATTAATTTAGCTATAAATTTTTAAAATAACTAATTATAATAAGAATGAATACATTAAATATATAAACAAAACTAGTGTTTAGATATTGAATATGTATAAAAAATAGTTTTTTAATTAAATTGTTTATGGTTTTGTATAATGAAAAATATATAATCTTAGGAAGAAAATTGCTATGATGATTTTGTATTTAAATAAATCAAATAATAAGTTAATGTTTTTATTAACAATATAAAAATACTAATTCCCTTAGTAATTCACATAATTTTTCTACTTTTAATTTTAGTATCTTGAATTATTTTACTATTTTGAATTTTTCTAGTTTTAATTTAGATTTTAATATCTTGAACTAATACAAAATCATCGTCGTCATTTTCTTCCTAAGATTATATTGTTTAATAATATAATATTCTGAAATTTTTTATAGTTTTTATAATAAAAAAATTCAAAAATAATTATAGTTTTTAGTTTTTAACAGTATAAATTAAATTATATAAAAAAATTTTGGAATATTTTTTTTGGTCAAAAACGGTCAACGCCGGAGTCAACACCGGTTAACGCCAGAATCAATTGACCGGTGTATCAGAATTTTATGTATATGGTGTTGACTACATGACGTTGTACAGTTGATGCATGTGGCCATGCAATACATATAGTTCGTGTAGCTGAGTGTACAATATGATATTTGGCATGTGTGACCATGCATTCCTCTAGAGTTGGTTTAGTCAGCCTTCTTTTTCCGTTCTAAAAAGTGAAATCACTAGTGAGTTAATTTATCCTAAATATATCTTATGTATGTTTTAAGATTTGAAATTTGCAATAATTATAAAATTTTGTAAAACTACAAATTTATTTTAATTTAATAAAAAAAAATTCTAAGAGCCTACCAATAATCACCTCTCAAAACTAAAAACTAATTCACAACTGTTATCTTTTACCTTTTCAATTTTACTAATTAAATAATCTTAAGATTAAAATTTAAGAGCTTAAGGTTAATGTTGTTCTTATAGATTATTCTTTGGTGGCAATGCATGTCTAGCTAATGATGGAATTGCGAATTATCAATGGTATTAATAATTTAATATCCAAAATGGTTAAGTACTGTATCGATGCTAATTTAGTGGTTAAGTACTGTATCGATGGTTAAGTACTGTACCCAGCAAAATGGTTAAGTACTGTATCGATGCTAATTTAGTAGTTTTTAGGAAAATGTTAAGATTCACGTGTCAATATTTCGCTGGGTAAAAAACAAAAGAGAAGAAAAAAAAAACTCGTCATTTTTCACTTTTTCTCGTTTTCTCTCTTTTCGTCTTCTCTTCTCAGATCATCGCCGTCTCGTCTATCAAGGTTACTTCTCTTCTCAGATCATCGCCGTCTCGTCTATCAAGGTTAGTATTTGATGTCTTTGATATTTAGGGTTACATGAATTGGGATCTTCGAGATTAGGGTTAAAGAAAGAATTGGGATTGATCGTTATGAATTAGGGTTCGTCAGTTAGCAGTCCCTTTGAATTGGATTTGATGTGTTTGAGATTAGGGTTATTTGAATTGGGATTGATCGTAATGATTTAGGGTTCTTGGATTTGATCGTAATCTGAATTGGATTTGATCCGGATGAATTAGGGTTGTGAGTTAGGTTTTGTTTCTTTCATTCTTTGTTTGGTTTTTCAGATTGAATTTGATATGTGTGTTGGTTATGTTTTTGAACCTGAATGTTTGTTTTCAATTTGATATGTTTTGATTCGAAGAATTTGATATGAGTTTCTGAGTTGAATGATACACGGTCTATTGTTATTTGTTTCTGTTTGTAGGGATGGCCAAGTTGAATCCTCATGTGTTTATGGAGATATCCATTAATAAGGATCCCCCTGAACGTGTTCTTATTGAGGTATTGCCTTTCCGTCTCTCCCCCTCCCCAATTCTTTCTTTCTTTCATGTCTTAAAACTTATGGTTTTCTTTATTTTTGTAGCTGTTTGCAGATGATGTGCCTCGTACAGCGGAAAAATTCCGTGCCCGCTGCACAGGTATCTTTTAAGATTTACTCACAACATTTGCTCTCGGATGAATTAGGGTTTGTGAGTTAGGTTTTGTTTCTTTCATTCTTTGTTTGGTTTTTCAGATTGAATTTGATATGTGTGTTGGTTACGTTTTTGAACCTGAATTACATTTTTGGTGTTTGTTTTCAATTTTATATGTTTTGATTCTAAGAATTTGATATGTGTGTTGGTTATGTTTTTGAACCTGAATTACATTTTTGATGTTTTTTTTCAATTTGATATTCTTTGATTCTAAGAATTCGATATGTGTGTTGGTCATTTGCTGTCGGCACCTTCTTTATATTTCAGGTGAAGCCCACCCTGATCTATGTTTGAAAGGGGCCTGCTTCAATCATATCATAAAAGGATTTTCGGCCGCAGTATGCGATGATTCTGGAAAGGGTAATCTCACTTTGTTATCCTTACTGATGTACTCAGTTTGACATTTAATTATGCCAAGATTTGTAAGGACTTTGGTCGGTTTGTAGGCACTGGTGGGCAGAGCACCGATGTTGGGGAGAAAGGTTCACGGAACCATGATGAAGGAGTCCTCTCAATGGCAAATGGAGGCAACGGGCCCTGTTTTTTAATTCTTTTTCTACCACAACGACATCTTGATGGGTAAAAACTACTCCCAGATTTTTTTTCTTCTGAAGTTCATTGTCAAGGATACTGATGTTTTCTTCGTTCATATTTGTAACATTAGTGGGGATCGTGTTGTATTTGGCAAAGTTGTTGGTGGTAAGAGTGTAATCAGGAAAATGGAAGATGTGGGGTCGATTGATGGGAAACCTTATTGCTCAGTTAAAATAACAGACTCTGGAGAAATGTCTCGAATTAGAGTACCTGAAAGAGAAAAAGGTAATGAAGTTCAATTATCTTTGAATGTGAGTTTCTAGATTACTGATGCAGAGACATTAATGTTTATCTGACCTTGAAGCTAAGGGAAGACACAAAAAAGAGGAGGAAACAGAAAGTGATGGGAAGAGGACAAGAAGCCCATCTCCAATTGGTGTGTCCAAGTACATCCAAAGGGGGCGTGGATTCACCGAGAAGTTTTCCTTTGCTCGGAGGTACAGTACGCCTCCTCGTCGAAAAAGTGACAGGACCAGGGATAGGTAAGGCAATCTATCTTCCTTACAAGTTACGATAAAGGAAGACAGGTCTCCTGATTGTTGGTGGTAAGACTGTACTCAGGAAAATGGAAGATGTGGGGTCGATTGATGGGAAACCTTCTTCCTCAGTTAAAATAACAGACTCTGGAGAAATGTCTCGAATTAGAGCACCTGAAAGAGAAAAAGGTAATGAAGTTCAATTATCTTTGAATGTGAGTTTCTAGATTACTGATGCAGAGACATTAATGTTTATCTGACCTTGAAGCTAAGGGAAGACACAAAAAAGAGGAGGAAACAGAAAGTGATGGGAAGAGGACAAGAAGCCCATCTCCAATTGGTGTGTCCAAGTACATCCAAAGGGGGCGTGGATTCACCGAGAAGTTTTCCTTTGCTCGGAGGTACAGTACGCCTCCTCGTCGAAAAAGTGACAGGACCAGGGATAGGTAAGGCAATCTATCTTCCTTACAAGTTACGATAAAGGAAGACAGGTCTCCTGATTATACTAAAGCCTCGTTCTGTTAATTTTGGAGGTATCCGAGCAACAGCTCATTGAGGAGACGTCCTAGAAGCCCACCCAGAAGGAGGAGCCCCTTCCCTCTAAGGTTTGCTCACTTGTATCTTTATATTATGCATTTGGCTTGGGGAGATAAAGCTTGTAAACCAGCACCCAGAGCCACTTGCATTAAATTCCGATTTGAATGACTTTAAAGCAATGTGGGAAGTCCTCTGAAAAAGGAGCGTAATCTTGCATAGGTACAACAGGATGATAAGGAAGACTTCTCGGAGTCCAGATGGAGACCGTTTCAGAGAACGAAGCCGGAGCCAGAGCCCGAGGCGTCATAGCCGGAGTCGGAGCCCTAGAAAGAGGCAGCCAATTATCCAAGACCGTCTCGGGACACAGAAATCCTCCATCAAAGGAGGACCCACCTCTCCTGCAGAATGACTCATCTCTTCTCTCCATCTGGACAGAGATAGCTATGCAGATTGATGAACACCCTTCTCCCTATTTTAGTACAAGCAGTCGGATATGAGATAGCTTACTTTACAGATTGTGGAACATTGATCAATTTCAGACTCATATATATGTTGGCAGAGTTGATTTTGACAAAACAGTATCTAAAGAAAGAAGGTTCATGGTATTCCGCTTGTTCATAGATAGGAATTAAATCTTTCTTTCCCACGAGAGGTTTTTTACAATGATTACAATCCTCGCGTCCTAAAACAGATGTGTTGGTCTTTGGGAACATGTAGATCGGGACTAACACGAGCCAGGCAGCAGCAAGAATTCCCAAGAGGATGGTCAGCACATCCATTTGTACTTGTGTGTCGACTTATCATCTATTGGCTCTTGGGTTTGGAACCATTGTTCGAATTCACTCTCTGTTTTCCCCTTACAAGCTTCTGCCTCTGTATCAACAACCATTGACCATTTTAGATTAGCCTTTATGCATGTGTGTGTATGTATTATTAATACGACTAGGTACTGATCTTACTACAGACTGTAGGCCCATTAATACGAAGCCCATTCTAAACCGTATCTAGCCTCCCTAAATATATATATATTAATGCGAACGCCGGCTAGGTAGTTTTGTTCGCTTCAATCCGAGATTTCTAAACCTAGTCGATATCAAGATCCAAAATTTCTCATGGATCAGGTAAATTTTCTCGCTCCTAATCTCAGTTTTTCTTCGGGATGATTACGGCCGTGTTCCTACTCTTGATGCTTATCTGATGTGTTTGATTTTCGTTCTAGATTAGAAAAGACCTTACTTCGATTTGCTTTCCCAATTTTGAAACTTTGATTTTCTCGTTAGTTTATACATACGCCGACGCCGACACCGGCGCCGGCGCCGACGTCTTTAACATCGGTGTTTTGGGACATCAATCTGTGTCCGGTTCCCCCTAGCTTTAATCCTCGTCGGGTCCGTCCGTGTATTAAACGGTTTTTGGAGAATCGTGGTTACTCTGGTCTTGTCATCATCACTGCTTTTGGCGTACTTCAAAATGTCCCTGATAACATCCTGAGAGGAGTCTTTTCCAGTGGAATCTCCCTCACTAACGTCCCCTACGGTATTTTCTCACCCTCCTTCCTTACTCTCAAAAGTCTTTAGTTTTTTCTGAAACAGTCTATATATATATATATATATATATATATATATATATATTTCATTCCTCTCAAAGTCTTTAGTTTCTTCTGAAACAGGTTCAGCTCCTTATGAAATTGGCGATATCATTTGTGAGTTTGCCGATGCATATCCACCTCCAGCTAATATAATGGTCATATCTGATCCGAATATCTTCAGTGATGTTTCTGAGTACCTACGTTTAACGGGACACCACCTTCTTCAGCCGTGTCCCTATGATTCTCTTCAAAGCCTTCTTGAGCAAGGTGTGTGTTTTGTCCTCTCTCACAGTGTTGTTGAACCAACCAGTAAATCTTTTGCTGAACTGGCTTTTTTTTTCTCCTCACAGATTCAGTGGCACCTGAGGAAACAGTTGAATGCTGGGCAGAAACAGTTGAATCTCCCTGCTGGGAGTGCTTGTTATGCTGCCGTGATCCTCCTGACCATGTCTTTGAGAATTTCATCACGCATCTCCATGGTGATGAACATGAACAATTGGTAATTAAGCTTTAGCCAAATCTTTTTTTGTCATTGTCTTTTTAGTCTCCTACCACAAGTTGTTTCAAGTCTTGACCCCATGTGCATTTGTTTTTTTCAAGCAGTTGTTGAAGTTACTGAATGAAAATAATGCTCCTCCACCCCCGGATCCCCCTGTTTCTAACGCAAAATCTCTCATGGTGAGGAAGCAACCAAAGTCATATGATAACGTTGATATCTCTAACATTTGTTTTTTTTTGCCTACATTGTTGAGATCTCTAACATTTGGATGTGCATTTTGTTTCCAATCAGACGTGGGACTGGTGTCCTCCACCACCAACTCACTATAATCGGTCAAAGAAGAAGGCTCTAACATTGGTCTTTTGGGACATCAATACGTGTCCGGTTCCTCGTTGCTCTGATGCTCCTCTGGTTGGTCCGTCCATCAAACGGTTTTTGTTGAACAAAGGCTACGTTGGTCCTTCCATCATCATTGCCGTTGGCTTATTAGAAAAAGTCGATGTTGACATCCTGAAGGGAGTCTCCTCCAGTGGAATCACTCTCACCAGTGTCCCCTACGGTATCTTCTCATCCTTGTGCCTTCCTACACTAATGGATATCTTCTTTGATGAATAGAGAAAGTCTTAAGTCTATAGTCTCTGAAACAGGTTCCTCAGACATTGAGCTTCTCGCTTGTGACTTTACCAATAGCCATATGTTTCCATTTAATATAATGGTCATATCCGATGCAAAAATCAGCGGGCTTACTTCTCGATACCTAAAAAATATGGATTGCAACCTTCTTAAACCGTTTCCATATTCTTCTCTTCAAAGATTTCTTCTGGCAGGTGTGTGTGTCCTCTCTCACGGTGTTGTTGAGATAATCAGCAACTCAGTTACTGAACTGACTACTATCTTTTTTTTTTTTTTCTCCCCACAGATTCAGGGGCACTTGAGAAGGATAAGTGCAGTGGAACTGGGGAATCTGCCTACTGGTTTTGCTCAGTATGCTACCCTGGTCTTGCTTACAGAGGCTTTGATAATCTCACGGTGCATCTCTCTAGTGAACAACATCAATTCAAGGTAATCAAGCATCCTAACCAAACTGGACGAACTAATTGCATGAATACATTTTGTCACCTCTTACCACAAGCAGTTCCCCCTTTCTGATCTCTGGTTTTGTTTGCCTATATGTTGACCCCATGTTGTTTTTTTCCCTTGTTCATTAGGTTTTCAAGCAGTTGGAGAACCTGTTGCAGGAGAATGTTGGGCATCTTTTAAGTGAGTGTCATTACCAGGAGGCTGTAACATTGGTCTTTTGGGACATCAATACGTGTCCTGTTCCTTCTTCCTGTGATCCTCGTCTGGTCGGTCCTGGTATTAAACGGTTTTTGAAGAACAAAGGCTACTCTGGTCCTCTCACCATCACTGCCGTTGGCGTACTAACAGACGTCCCTGATAACATCCTGAGAGGAGTCTATTCCGGTGGAATCTCTCTTGATAACAACCATTGCGGTCGCTCAAGCGTTAATTATAGTGTTCGTGATTATACCTCTGCGAATCCACCTCCAGCTATTATAATGGTCATAGGCGATCCAGGGGTATTGCTGTCTATTTCTGACCTATTCAGCTATAAAGGGGGATACAAGTTTCTTCCATATGATTCTATTCTAAGCTTTCTTCCGGCAGGTGTGTGTTTGTCAGATCTCACAGTGTTGTTGAAATAATCAGCAGAACTGTTGCTGAACAGTCTGTTTTTATTGTATTTTATTTAAAGATTCAGGTGAACTTGAGGGGGATAATTGCAGTGAAACGGGTGAATCTGCCAGCTGTGTTTGCTCAGATTGCTGCCGTGGTAATGTTGAGAAAGACTTTGAAAAATTCTCCATGCATCTCTCTAGTAGAGCACATAAACGGGCGGTAATCAATCATCCTACTGTATAAATAGATCTTGTCATTGTCTAACTATGCTTGAGTCAAAACAACCTCTAACCACAAGTAGTTTCCCATTCTGACTTTTAGTTTTGTTTGCCTAAATTTGTTGACCCCTTGTGCATTTGTTTTTCAAGCAGATGTTGGACTGGCTGCCTAGAAAATCTCGGTTTTCTCTTCTTCAGGAGGATGCTTCCCACCATGGTGGCGAATCAAGCAAAGGCAAGTTTCAATATCTTATTACGTTGGAATTTCTAATCTCTAGAATTTGTGGGGGGATTTTTTCTTAATGAAAACTTAAAACATTGTAGGGAAAGTGCAAGAAACGGAGGACGTGAACAAGAAGAAAAACAAGAGGAAGATGAAGAGGAATATTAAGAAGACGAAGGCCCTTTTTTTAATAAGGCATTTGGTATGGTTAATGGTTTGTTTTACCTTTAGCGGCGAATGTTGGATTTCTAATCTCTAGAATTTGTGGGGGGATTTATTCTTATATGAAAGCTAAAACATTGTAGGGAAAGTGCAAGAAACGGAGTCGACGTGAACAAGAACAAAGACAAGAGGAAGAGGAAGAGGTGGAATAGTTAAGAAGAAGAAGGCCCTTGGTGATGGTTTTTTACCGAGGCATTTGGTATATGGTGAATGGTTTGTTCTACCTCTGGAGGCAAATGTTGTATTCACTTATATCAATACTTGTGCTTATTTTTCAAGTCTCGTTTTTATTATTATTTAGAACTTTATCGATACTTCTTAAATTAACTATTTGTATATGGCAAATGGTGGGTTAACGTAATGCTACTTATGCTTAATTTCAAGTAACGTTTAAATAAAATAAAATTATCTATACTTGTTAATACTTAATACCACTATTTGTGTAAATTGAGATCGGACATAGTAACCGGATGGTATGTTTTAAATTTCAAATGATTAATAATGTGACATCGGTGATAAATTAAAGAATAATGATGGAATTATCAATGTAATTCCGGCTTTTCTATTGAATAATCATGGATCATCGAAATTACAATTAATTATTATAAGGTAAAAAAAATGCGCCGAGGTATAATACAGAATATTCTTGGAAATTCCCAAAAGCTTTAAAAGTTTTTGAGTATAGGAGAATGAAAGAAGGTAGGGTCTAGTTATGACACTTGTGTGCTCTCTTATGTGACATGTCATCATGCCAACAAACGAATGCGAATCTGTTTTGACTTTGAAGATTCTGATGTCTTACTGGTCGGTCAACACTTCTTGTCTTTTTCACAAATTTCGAAATTATCTGAAATTTCTTCTATTTTGGATGGTAATTGTGATATTTATAAGTTTTGTAAAGTGAATTATGAGCTTAAACTATGTGTCTGTCTATTGCTGCTAACACAAAGACTGCATACTAAAGTGAAGTTTTATTCCAATATTGCTATACAAAATGTTGGTAATCCACTAGTTCGGTTGATGTGCTTTAACTCCATATATTAAGGCAATATCTCTGCAAAGCAGTTTTACATGAAATACATTGGCCCCAACAATGAAATTGAAACCAGTGTTATTACTAGGCTAGTAGTGGTAATATGTGGTGACAGCTAATTTAACTGGAGCGGTGCTTCCAAGTTCAATATTTAATTAGCATTGGCATGATATATATGGGTAGAAGAAGATATACATGAATAGTTTTTATTTCACAAAACGTATGGCGGCAGCGCAAGGTGGTGGGGTAATCATGGCGGTGAGGACGGCCAACAAATAAATGACTTTCTTGTTCCATTCATAAACAACTTTTGCTATATTTCTTTGTTTACTCTATTTCTCTGTTAGGATGATATATCATATGCATTGTCAATGTATGGGTTTACTAACAATGGTAGATCTATCCAAAATATAATCAAATTCATCATATAACATAAGCAAAACCAAAGGAATACAATGATTTTGCAAGTTTTGAACACATTTCTTGTTTACTTCATTCAACTCAAGCCTAAGACGCGGAAGCAATGTGATGGCATAACTTTATAAAAATAGCATATACCGATATACGTTGTTTTAAATTCACAGACACAGCTCGAAATTACAAAACCCTTATACCAATAAAGAACATTCTCGCTATACCCACACCCAAAATCACAAACTTGGTTTACTTGTATGTACTGTAATCAGTTTAAATAAAAGTGCTTAAACCAAAAATAACATGTCTTGTATAGTTGTGTTACATACTCACACAAACTCCAACCGCACAAGAAGCTTCACGGATCTACACTTCACGCCATCTTGGTTATGCAGGGAAAACGGCACGTATTCCTTGCCTCAGCTCCCATACCGTCAAGCAAGTTTGCCCTCCAAAATCGTCTTTCTCAGACATGTCATACTCATGTACCTCAATACGTAGAAGAGCAAGCTCTGGAACTGTTAATGGGAACTCAAACACCTCGTCCCAAGCTGGTATCCAGTTATCCTCTAGTGTTTTCGTCTTCTTCATCACTGTATCCGCTGGAACTCCAGCGATTCCAACCTGAGATCAATTTTTGAAACTCTATTTTAGCCTCAAGACTCAAACTTAAAGGCATGCTTGCATATTTTTTATACCCTTGTATAGAAGTCAGGGTCAAATACAGAATATAGTTACCTAAAACATATATAAACAAACCAACCATTATGAAGAGCTCATGAAAGTTTACTGAGGATTCAACATTTGGAAATGACCACAACAGAGAATAGTTCTCTGACCCTTAATGTTGTTTTTACTGGTAATGAAGCTTCCGGGTCAAATACAGAATCTGATTTCAGCAAAATATCAGGTTTCTTGATGTAACCACATCCTCCATTTCCTCTAAACATTCCTTGCATTACCCACAATGATCTTCCAAGTCCCTTCACACAAGATAAAGTCGTTTCAAGAATTCAATTTCTTTTGCAACTATATGTATATCTTGCATATGATTAGATGTTCTGTTAACTGTAAGGAGAGAACTTTGGAGATGTAAGAATATTAAGAAGAAACCTGCATATTGAAAGCCACCATTTGAGCTCCATGGCTCCATCCAACCAGAGGGTTGTAATTCGATGAAGTAATCCTAGTTCCTTTCGGATAAACCCGGAGCAAATTCCGCTGAGTAAACCTACATTATTTATTCCATGATCAACAGAGTTTCTTATGACATTTTGAAATATAAGTGAATCTCTATATGGACTGATCTTATATTTGATGTATATAAGAAGAGAAACTTGAGAGAAATACCTCACAATCTTTTCAGCATATTTTTTCTGAGGCCCTTTTCAAGTTGTTCTTCACTCAAGCTAAGCCTTCTTACTTTATCAGGATCCACCTACTAACATTCAGTTATTCCGCCTTTCGGTTTCCCGGCCTGGATTGCAATCAAATGCTTGTACTCCGGTGGCGCATTCTTCTTAATCTTATCATCACCATCGTCTTCATCATCATCATCAGTATCATCATCTCCGTTTGAATCATTCTACAACAAGGAATAAAGATAAGACCAACTAATACATATGAAAAACCAATAAGATTAAAAAGAAGATGATGAGTAATGTGTTTCTACACAGACCTTGTCACCACTTCTATCCCTTCGAACAAAGCTTGGAACTTCTCTTCCCCAAACTTCTTCATCTTTCAAATCTCTACTTTTTTTCACCACATCATCATCTTTTACTGCTTTATACTCTTTAGGAGGTTTTGTTGATATCATTATACGATTTTTCAAAGATGCAGGCGATGGGAACTCTTTTAAGCATTCCCCGGAAGGAGCAGTAAACAACATTTCTCCAAATATATCTGTAACCATCTAGAACAATACAAAATCTCTATATATATCAATAACTAAAACCAAAAAGAAAAATTCTCAACGAAATGCAAAATAAGCTACACACCTCAGCAACTTTAGCTTGGAGATTAGGAGTAAGATGATCTTCAAGAGTCACAACAACTGGGTAATCAGATACATCAAAGGCATGTTCTCTAATAGCTCTTAGACATTTGATCAGCTCCACAGGTGATGTAAGAGTCCTAATATTTGAAATGGTTCAGTAAGAACAAAACCAAAAGAAAAATTCAAAAAACAGAGGCATTACTAATTATATAGATACCTTCCATGAAGAACATCGATACCATCTTCATCAGAGTTAGGCCAAATATCCAATTCAATAACTCTAACACCTTTTTTCAATGCTTCAATTATAGGCACTTCACTGCAATCACTACTCAGTTGATTACCAGTTAAATACGAATTATGTCCTGTATATATAAAATAGTGAGACAAAGGAGCATCCATATCTTGATGCACCTGCCAAACAAAAAAAAAATTCATATAGTAATTCAAGAATCAAACAATCTCTACAAGAAAAATACAAAAATCTCGATCTTGATTTCGATTACCTCAAGAGAAGAAAGAGGAGAGTTGTTAATAGCAAAAAGGTATTTGAAGAAAGCATCAAGGTGGAGACCATTACGATGAAGAAGAGAAGATGAGGCGTTGACGATCGCTTGAGCTTCCTCTCTGGTCGCTTTGTCTTGTTTCTGAACATCGATAAGGAACCTGAGGAGGAGATCGGTGGTCATGAGACCTCTGTCGGAATAAGTCTCGAAAAGGGTCTTGATCTCGGGCGGTGCTACCGAGACAGTGTGTCGATACCTCCGACGGAAGCAGAAACAGACTTTGTATGTTTGCTTCGACATTGTAGGAAAATCACAGACCGATGGCGATGACGATGAAGATGATGATTGATTGATTCGTCCAGAGTGTGAGTTTTGATGATTGGAAGAAGGGAATGTGATCTCTCTCTCCGTCTCAATCTGAAATTTAGATGTGTTGTTCTGTTTCTCGTTGGCGGTTTTATTGTAATAGTGACTTTTTCCATAATTTGATCCTATGATTATTTTAAGAGTATTTTGGATGTCGGACAAATGTTTAATTTTGATGTATGAGTATTGGTGTATTTATGTTTTTTCCCACAATTTATAATAATTATATTTTGAGTTTATTAAAATAATTAATTTTAATTAATAAGTAAAAACATATTAAATATTGGATTAATATTAAACATTGTAAATTTTTATGTTTGCATAAAATATTTGAAAAACTAGGAAAAATATCCAAGTTATATAAACAGAAAAAAATAAAAACCTACAAAATAGTCAAATATTTTTTTTTTAAGTAGATGAAAAGTAAATAAAATTGAAGAAATATTTATATCTATAATCAATGAAAATAAATTGATGTAAACCAAAATCAAAATAAATTGATAAAATAAAATAAAAATCATATAAAACAAACTTTTCTATAGATGTATATTATATAGTTCCAAATATCAAACTCAAAGAGCTAATGTAATAATTTAAATAGGGGAAAATGTCTATACATTTTTACTTAGTTTTCTAATTTTCTTCTTTTTATGGTGAGATAGATACTCAGTCTGCATCAACTTCGTGGATCATGTCCTGGAGCTCAGCTTCTATTGGGTTCTGCCCAAGTGATCTCATCACTGTCCCAAGCTCCTTTGTGGTGATACAACCTGCAAAACCAACCAATATTGAAGCCAACTTCAGATTTCAGAGTGCAAGAGTTCCAAGTATCAGGGAGAAGAAGAACCAAATGTAATAACACATATCCCAAATAACTGTACCAACTAAAAAATGCTCTTTGTACCGTACTCGTATTCCACTACTTAAGTTGGCTTCAATATTCAATATATCAGCTTGACAGATGAAGATACGACCCAGTAAAATCGATCGTTCGAAAAAAGTGTACCAAGTTAACAAAGAAACATTTCAAGCCTCTTTCTAATCAAAGGCCACAAGATGCATCATGTTCTAAGAATCATGCCATGACCAATAAGCACCAGAAGATGTACACCATGCTAAGACTAATGCAGCAGAGCTTTGCAAGTTCTCAACTAACGTAACTCAGAGCAACATAGATGATACTATGAACTTCTTCTTCCTTAACAGATTTGAGTATAAACATGTACAGATCAATCTACCTGATTCAATTTCAAATTCAAACCCAAATGACCACTAAATTATGTGAGTAACCTCATCGTACATATCAAAATTAGCAAGATTCGTCACAAGATTGGTTCAGAATCAGAGCAAATAACAAAAGAAACAACAAGGCAACAATCTCCCATGTCACGATTTGAGCAAACAAGCAAATACTAAAGCTAATCAAAACGAGATCGTCCTCTAAATCACATGAAATTCAGGATCAGAGACAGATTCTAACAAATGCTAAGAATCCATATATAACCACAAAAAAATACAAACCCCATCCTTATCTCAGCTAATCCCCAAAACTCATATCGGATTTGGAAGACATACCTTCTATCGCGATCCGTTCTTCGTCTTCAGAGATTCTCCTCTTCCTATGGCGAAGCTTTCTACGGCAGAGACGACCCGATTCTGATGTTTCTTCGCCGGAAATTCGATCGCCACAACAATCGCCAAACCAATCGCCTTCTCAACCCTAGTCGAGAGAGAGACAGAGAGAGAGAGAATGGGAAGAGAATGCGAAGAAACATTGAAGACCCCAACAAATTTTTTCCCCACTAATTCACACGACCAATCATAATTTGTCACATGGCAAGAGGGACGAATGAATTTGGTCCCGATTTTAGAAACGTTTACTCACATTTAACGTATTTATGATATATTTTTTGGCAAATAATTCAAATGGACTTGGCATAAATATGTTGTTGCAGTTGCTCTAAAGATATGAATTTGCATTTACTTGTTATAATAGATTTAATTAGTCCACGTGGATTGATTTTTAAATTTTATGTCGGCAGATTTTCATTTTATTATCTCTTCTAATTGTTCTTTTGACTTCTTTTTAATAATTTAATTAGATAAGTTCTTTACTTGCTCTGATCAACTTCGAAGTGGGATGTAATTTGCTAGTCATGAAAAAAATATTAAATGATTTTAAAACTATTGTAGTGTAAGTTTTGGGAAAAAGGAATAAAATCGGCCTGCTACTAGATCAAAAACTCATAAAGGAATTAACAAGAACAACAAGAACAACAACAAAAAAAAAAAAATGAATAAGATTATAGTACATTTATATTGAATCTCTTTTTGTATTAAAAAATAATAATTGTCAAAAAAAAATCACAGGTCTAGTCACGTCGAATTTTGGGTCTAACATTGAAAACTATTTTATATTAGGGTGAATATGAGGGTACAGTTTTAAATATCTCTGCTACTCTGTAAACAATGGTTACAACAAAACCGTTGATGGTGTCTGCCGATATTCATTGACTCATTTCCCAGATTCCGAGCTATTTTGGTCGGAGCATAATCGTTGAGATCTGGGGAAAACTAAGAAGCACGAACCTACTTTGATTTTGAATTAATGGCGATTACGGCAACTAGATTGGCAACAGATTCTCAGCTCTCCACGGATTGGTCAAAAGAAAAAGAATTTTAATTTATATTTTCATGATCACAAAAATAATATCATATCTCGAAACAAATCTTACTCTAATCTATTCGAATCAATACATATATCCATCTTATCAAATCAATTATTTTGATAAAATTCCTATGTATGTTCACCGTCTTATTACACCCATATAAATAAAGAAAGATACATAACTAACCTACGTTGAATCTCTTACGAAATAGTTTATCTCTGATTGTCCATAGTTACTCGATCGATGTCGATGCTTGGAAGAAACAAGCGCAAAGAAAGATCCTTGCCGGATCCGGAACAGGAAACAAACCCACCGTCAGGGATGCCTTCTTCTTCAGCTGATGATCACTAGTCGTCGTGCAACCTGCAGATTTAAGCAAGCCTGTCATTGCAGTTTTTAAATGGTAGAAAGTGCAAATACTAGTTTATCAGAATCTGAGAAGAGCATTAGAAAGATTGGACATTTCGGTTAGTTTTTGCTTACATTGCAATCGAAAGCGTATTTGCGAGCAAGGACTATTGCTGCATTACGTTCTTGTTCTGATTCAAAGGTAAGTATGAAACTTAGACTCTTTCTTGGTTGCCAGAACAACGCCTTGGTAGGAGTCTTAATATTGCTTCTAACTCCACAGAGCTGAATAATTTATACACCAAAAAACCATATAAGCTTGTAAGAATATCAAAGATTTGTTTCTGTGAAACAGAATGAAGAAAGAGTCTCAAGATACCTGCATGGATGTCGAATATATTTCTCTCGCCTTTGATATCCATCCTCGAGACAGCTTTATCCTTGTCTTTCCAATGGTAAAGATATGAGACCGGGATGCATAGTCTTGTCCATTCATCTGTGATATAACCACCTGAAGCAGAGTTTGACATGTTCAGAACATGAAACTAACATTCTGAACTTCTTGAAGAAAATGTTGCAACATACGATGAATTCACTGTTCGATTTTCGCATCAGCGTCTCCTACGCGTGACTGCAAACCAGAATCTGCAGTTCAATAAGCCAGACATTAGCTTATTATTGTCCACATAATGTAAAATGTTTGTATCTTCTATATTTTTCGAAATACCAACTAGGATCAACTGGATCATCGGTTGTAACTGTGAATTTTCGTCCATTTGAAAGAATGTCTGCCTGTAAGATCCTCCCAACATCAAATGGTTCTGGAGCATATATCGATTGGATGGCACCTAAGAGCAAGATATGAAACTGCTCAAGCTAATGTTCATTAACTAAAAACCAAATGATGAAGCAAACAGATAGGAGCAAATATCAGATATAGCTTCCCTGCGACTAGTTTCACATGCTGCACGATACCACTGGATCGAACAGTTGGAAAGATCAGGAGAATTGTCTGGAGCATTAACACGGACTTTTAAGCAAGAGCCTAGACTTTGTGTGCCTTCCAGAACAAACGGACAAGACTTGGATTCCTCTGCTCTCTTGAAACGTTTAACAGTTGTTGATAAAGGGAAGAACAAAGAAGTTAGCAAAGACCAACTCTAGCAAATAAACTTAAGAGCAAATATGTTGAAAACTCAATGTGCACAACAACATACCTCTTTATAAAGATTAACATAATTCATATACTTCTCTTGGATTCGATTCCTTAAACCATGAAGCTCCTGTTGCATGCCGATCACCTGGATTACAACACAGTCTTGAATAACACACAGAGTTCATAACTTTAATGTGGCCATACTAGAGTGCAATGAAATTGATGAAGCACCTTTGTTGGGTGATGCATCTGTTTGATTTGCCTTCCTCAGCCAATTTCTCCACATCCTATGAATTGAAAACATGAGTTGGCTAGAAACTTTCCTATAGACTTTATTATCTGGACTAGATAATAATACTAACCGGCCCCTGAGCTCTAGAAGCTTCAGAAATCCGTTCTTGTTCTTCAAATGCCTCTCCAAGTTTCAGCACGACGGCCGTTGCAGTTTCAATCTCAGCGCAAGCAAACGAATTTTCTTGATTTACTAGTTTCTTTGCATCTTCAGAAGTCTGTCATCATGAGTGTAACATTAATCAGTTTCCTTGTAGTTTTAAACTGTTGGAAGTCTCTAAGTCAACACATTTTTGTATCAATATCTATAATCTAGTAGCAAGACCTCCTTGAGGAAGTTTCCTAGTTTCTTCACTTCAAACTTTTCTTGAATTAATTTACCTTCATTTTGAGTTAACTTCACAGCCAGAGCTTCAACCTATTCTCAGACATCACAATTTTGACCCAAGTCACATAAAAAAAAAAAACATTCATAATGAACAAGGAATTATGCTTTTCTTAAGAGAAAATGTGGTGAAAGAAATGTTAACCATTAACAAGGAATTATGCTTTTTTTAAGCTGTTTCCACATCTTCCTTGTTTTTCCCATCCGTGCGTCCTCTCCTGCATTCTAAAGCATCCATTAGCTTCTTCAACATAACATGTCCCTCCAAAGAAGCCACTTCTCTTAGTTTAGCCTAAAAAAAAGAGTTGGAAGAAACAGATTTAAACAAACAAAAAGAGAAACGCCATATCAAATCATAAAGGAGAGCTATGTATGTAGAAACTAACCTCATCAGCCAAACTAACAGCTGAAGCCAGATTCTTTTCGAATTTACTAGCAAGGTTGCGGACCGAAAGCCGCTTGTGCTGATCAGACAAGAGCTCGCTCTCCTTCTCTACAGTCTCTTTCACTGATGGACATTTATCATCTTCCTTAGGTTCCTCTACTATCTGATTATCAGGTTCTAGTTTGTATGTTGGAAAATGATCAGATAGTGGAACAGCTGACTTAGACAATGTCCTCCTGTCTTCGATTTCAGGGCACACTTTAGTCATTTTTCCTGGATCTTTGTCTGTTTCCTCAGCAAAAGACAAAGAGCAAATCAAGAAATCATTAAATTGTTCAATTTAAGATTCACAAGATTACTGTACTAGAGAAAATGCGGTCAAGATGAACCCCATAAGTTAAACAAGGATCAATCTTTGACGTTTAACAAAAAGCTTCAAAGTTGTTTTATTGATCTGAATTGGAAGAGAATTTTAGCTCTATCTAAGTATCTAGTATAAGAAATTCATAATACAATTTGGCCTTACACTAATTAAGAAAGAAAAAATTGAGCATCACAAGAACATGGACGTCATGAAACAGGAAACGACAAAACTCAGGAGAAGAATCAATCAACTCAAGGCCCAGATACAGAGAAGAAACTCAAGAATGAAGAACAAAGAAGAATGAGAACAAGAAGAATAAAGAGAGAAGTGGATCTTTTAGTCTCACTCTCTCTAGTCTCCGTCGTCGTTTGGCATCTTTTGTCCTTTTTAGCTTTTACAAAAAAAAAACTAATACTATTTTTTAAAAAGTGTAGGAAGATTCTTTATCTATTAATATCCAAAAACTAATGGTAAATGATTGTTAAGAGAGAAAACAAAAGTTTCAAAATTTGTTTAATGCTCTCATTTGTCTGGGAAGGTTATTTTTCTGTTAAGATGCAAAAACTACATATCACTAATTTCTCCATAGAGCTATTTGATCAATTCGTGGTGTCTTCACGTGCATCTTTAAGAACCGCCGTACACCTGAATCAAAACAGCTATTTGGAGTTCTTTTTTCTTTCATATCAAAACAATCTCATATAAATCTTTAAAAAAATTAACATCATCATTGTAATATAGATATACTTTGAGATTGGATTTATGAGCATCATACAATACCGCCTATTATACTTTGTAACCAAATTCCGTAGTTATGGTTGAGTTTGGAGTTAACTCTTGATAGGTAGGATCGTCGATATAAGTACTTAGAGCATGAACATTGGTAGGATTTTGAATGAGGTCCCAATGTTATTCTAACAATATTTTTATCGAGGGACAAATGTTTAATTTGTATGTATGAGCATTGGTGTCCTATGTATTTTGTCCCACAAATATAAAAATTATTATTTTTTAAAATTAATTTATTTTAATTAATAACTAAAACATTTGAAATATTGGATTAATATATAACATATAACATTAAACCAATATTTTTATTTTAGATTAAACCAACATTTTATTGACTTCTTAGAAATTTAGAAATTAATCTTCTTATCTGTAAGATATCCAAAATTAGTCCAAATATGCTCAATAAAAACATTTTTTAATTGTTGATGGGCTTGTT